TGGTTCTCACCCCCTTCCATAGACTTACACAGTAATTATGACATCTTCCGGAGGACGTCCTCCAACCTATCAGAGTTCTTGCAGTATGAACTGACATGTTGCCCACCCAATCAAAGGATCAGAGAATGAATCTAGTACTGAAAGCATAAGCTACAGCTAGCTAGCATAGCAGTGCATAACATGTGGTGAGTAGTTGACTCAAAGAGAAAGAGAGACAATAGTTGAACAGTTGTTGTTTTTTTAAGGAAGGAGAAGCAAGAGAGAGAGTGCGAGAGATAGAGCTATATTTAATGTATTTTTTCTTATATATCTTTCACTTTCTTAGCTAACGAATGCAGCTAGCTAGTTTAGCCTTCTCAAACACCCGGGTAAAACAGAGAGGGATGCTATGTTAGCTAGCTGGCTATCCAACACTGGAACTCTTCCAAGTCAAGGTACGTTTTTGGTTGTATTAATTTATTGCCACTGGGGCCCACCAGTGTAACTGCTAAACTGCTTCCTGAGTGTACACTGTACTGCATGATTGTAGCAGAGACCGTTATTATAGCAGGTTTACTAACACGTTAGTTCTATCAGCTATGTTGACTATGACGTTATTTTAACTAATATTGTGACAACGATGTAGGCTGTGTGTAACGGTTATGACATGGTTTGGCTTGGAAAGGTGTTTTCACCTGGTCACATACAGCTGATGTGTTGTTCATTGAAGTCCACAAGCGAAGGGAAAAGGAGAAGAGCGCATAGAAGGAATACAACGTGGCTGCTATGAAAGTGAACTGTGTTTACAGGGGTGTCTTCATGCCGCGTATTCTGTTGAAAACGGGGATAAAAATACCTTGAATTTGTCCAATAGGAACTTGTGTGCAACTGTTGGACTAATGATTACACCCCATATCAGCCAGATGCAGGCAACAGTGTGCAAGGAGGTATTGAATGTGTCACTGTCTGTCCATGTGTCACTGTCTGTCACCTCTAATGTGTCTCTCGACCTGTGTGCACCTACGTTGTAATCTTTCCTCCATAGGCTGGGTTGTAGCAACCTCATGATGGGTACAGGGAACAATAGAGTATCATGTAGTAGCATAAACCTATCGATGTTACATTGAACTGGGTGAATGGAATATGAATGAGTCGTCCACTATGCTGTAATAGAAATAAGGCCCTGCTCATAAAAAAAAGAATTGTCCTCCCTCATCTTAAACGGCACCAACCGCCGGTGATAGTTAACTACTTATTATTATTATTATTCTGTCTGAAGTAACTATAGCAGGAGTCAAATAAATACTGGCCTCCCGACCTCTCCTCTGATTGGTTGACGCTTTCCACCTCTCCTCTGCTCTGATTGGTCCATTCAAGGACAAGGGTGGTGACATGAGAGGAGGGTCCTCAAGGCGAGCTGTTCTGTTAGTTCCAAAGTCTCTGATTGGTCCATTCAAGGACAAGGGTGGTGACATGAGAGGAGGGTCCTCAAGGCGAGCTGTTCTGTTAGGGTTAGGGTTAGAGAACAGCTAATCATGGTTAGTTTGTTTAACTCGGTTAGGGTGGTGACATGAGAGGAGGGTCCTCAAGGCGAGCTGTTCTGTTAGGGTAGAGACCAGGAACAACCGAATAACGGAACTTCCCCGGTGCCGTACCGTACGAGCCTATCTATCACTCAGCAACGTGTTCCCTCATACACACACGGAGACAGACAGAGAGAAGGGGACCAGGCGGACTAACCCTAACCTTGTAGCCGGAAAGGTTGTGTCTTTCTCGGGGATGAAGATCCAGTTTGCTCCGCTGAACATCCCGCTGCGGAGGAGACTCCAGACAGCCGCGGTGCTGCAGTGGGTTTTCTCTTTCCTGGCGCTAGGTAAGTCTCTCTCTCTCTCTGGGTGTGGTGTGTGTGTGTGTGTGTGTGTGTGTGTGTGTGTGTGTGTGTGTGTGTGTGTGTGTGTGTGTGTGTGTGTGTGTGAGAGAGAGAGAGAGAGAGAGGGGTTCACTAGCTGACATTAGTGTGGTGGTGCTGTAATGTTCTCAAGGGTTTGTTGCTAAATAGAGTAAATAGTCATAAACTCTGATGAGGCTAGAGAGAGAATATTTCTCAGCAAAAGTACGTAAGATAAAGGCTTGCACAAATGAATCAATATCTTTATTGACTGTCTGGTCTAAGGTCCTGGATCAGTGGTTAGGTTAGTATCTAATGGTTCAGGTTAAAGTGGTCCTGGATCAGTGGTTAGGTTAGTATCTAATGGTTCAGGATAGGACTGGTCCTGGATCAGTGGTAAGGTTAGTATCTAATGGTTATGATTGGGTCAGGGTGATCTGGTCCTAAATCAGTGGTTAGGTTAGTATCTAATGGTTCAGGTTAGGACTGGTCCTGGATCAGTGGTAAGGTTAGTATCTAATGGTTCAGGATAGGACTGGTCCTGGATCAGTGGTAAGGTTAGTATCTAATGGTTATGATTGGGTCAGGGTGATCTGGTCCTAAATCAGTGGTAAGGTTAGTATCTAATGGTTCAGGTTAGGACTGGTCCTGGATCAGTGGTTAGGTTAGTATCTAATGGTTCAGGTTAGGACTGGTCCTGGATCAGTGGTTAGGTTAGTATCTAATGGTTCAGGTTAGGACTGGTCCTGGATCAGTGGTAAGGTTAGTATCTAATGGTTCAGGTTAGGACTGGTCCTGGATCAGTGGTAAGGTTAGTATCTAATGGTTCAGGTTAGGACTGGTCCTGGATCAGTGGTTAGGTTAGTATCTAATGGTTCAGGATAGGACTGGTCCTGGATCAGTGGTTAGGTTAGTATCTAATGGTTTAGGTTAGGACTGGTCCTGGATCAGTGGTAAGGTTAGTATCTAATGGTTCAGGTTAGGACTGGTCCTGGATCAGTGGTTAGGTTAGTATCTAATGGTTTAGGTTAAAGTGGTCTTAGATCAGTGGTTAGGTTAGTATCTAATGGTTCAGGTTAGGACTGGTCCTAAATCAGGGGTTAGGTTAGTATCCAATGGTTATGATTGGGTCAGGGTGATCTGGTCCTAAATCAGTGGTTAGATTAGTATCTAATGGTTATGATTGGGTCAGGGTGATCTGGTCCTAAATCAGTGGTTAGATTAGTATCTAATGGTTATGATTGGGTCAGGGTGATCTGGTCCTAAATCAGTGGTTAGATTAGTATCTAATGGTTATGATTGGGTCAGGGTGATCTGGTCCTAAATCAGGGGTTAGGTTAGTATCCAATGGTTATGATTGGGTCAGGGTGATCTGGTCCTAAATCAGGGGTTAGGTTAGTATCCAATGGTTATGATTGGGTCAGGGTGATCTGGTCCTAGATCAGTGGTTAGATTAGTATCTAATGGTTATGATTGGGTCAGGGTGATCTGGTCCTAGATCAGTGGTTATCATTACCTTGTATAGTGTAACAGAGTCAAATGGTTCTGGATAAGCTCCACAGCTTGACATGGCACTAATGGCGCCATCGAAGAGGTTCCTTTTTGGTGACGCTGTTGGTTAGTACGTTGTCAAGCGGGCGGTCACGTGTGTTGGTGAGCTGAGGACCACTGGTTGGAGCCCAGTAAAGGGAACAGTGGGGATGCCTAACTGTTAGGTGGAGGTGGTACAGAGACTTTCTCTGTTTTCTGGTCCACATGATTGACTCTCTCTGGACTCCCTGACCGCACGATGAACTGATCTGTCTAACCCTTACACTGACTCTGTCTCTGCTCCGTCTCAATAGTGAATCTGGGGTTCATTGGCAGGAGTAAGCGACGGGGGGTGCTGTGTGTGTAGGGGGCAGTGGGTGAGAGTGCATGGCTGGCCTGTGCTTTCGCCCACTTGGCTCTGCTCACACACACACACAAAGACACTCACACACACACACAAAGACACTCACACTCACACACACACACACACACATTTGCTCTCTGCTCTCCTTTACCAACCATGTGACCTTATCCTCCTCCTGCCAACTCCTCCCCCAAGGTGAGAGGAGAAGAGCGTATAGAAGGAATACAACATGTCTCCCCCCCCCAGAGAGTAACTGACCAATGACATGTCTCCCCCCCCCAGAGAGTAACTGACCAGTGACATGTCTCCCCCCCTCCCCCCAGAGAGTAACTGACCAATGACATGTCTCCCCCCCAGAGAGTAACTGACCAATGACATGTCTCCCCCCCCCCCCCAGAGAGTAACTGACCAATGACATGTCTCCCCCCCAGAGAGTAACTGACCAATGACATGTCTCCCCCCTCCCCCCCAGAGAGTAACTGACCAGTGACATGTCTCCCCCCTCCCAGAGAGTAACTGACCAATGACATGTCTCCCCCCCAGAGAGTAACTGACCAATGACATGTCTCCCCCCCCAGAGAGTAACTGACCAATGACATGTCTCCCCCCCTCCCCCCCCAGAGAGTAACTGACCAATGACATGTCTCCCCCCCCCAGAGAGTAACTGACCAATGACATGTCTCCCCCCCTCCCCCCCAGATAGTAACTGACCAGTGACATGTCTCCCCCCCCTCCCCCCCAGAGAGTAACTGACCAATGACATGTCTCCCCCCCAGAGAGTAACTGACCAATGACATGTCTCCCCCCCCCCCAGAGAGTAACTGACCAATGACATGTCTCCCCTCCCCCCAGAGAGTAACTGACCAGTGATATGTCTCCCCCCCCCAGAGAGTAACTGACCAGTGACATGTCTCCCCCCCTCCCCCCCAGAGAGTAACTGACCAATGACATGTCTCCCCCCCAGAGAGTAACTGACCAGTGATATGTCTCCCCTCCCCCCAGAGAGTAACTGACCAGTGATATGTCTCCCCTCCCCCCAGAGAGTAACTGACCAATGACATGTCTCCCCCCCCCCCCCCAGAGAGTAACTGACCAATGACATGTCTCCCCTCCCCCCAGAGAGTAACTGACCAGTGATATGTCTCCCCCCCCCCAGAGAGTAACTGACCAATGACATGTCTACCCCCCCAGAGAGTAACTGACCAATGACATGTCCCCCCCCATCCTCTCTCCCCAGCCCAGTGTTGTCTAGCAGGCTATGTGTTGCTGTGCATCTCTAATTGGTGGGTTCTGGCTGCGCTGTATGCTGGTTGGCTGTATCTGGACAGGGACACACCCACCAGCGGAGGTCGGAGGTCAGAGTGGCTTCGGAACTGCAGCGTCTGGAAACACTTCAGAGACTACTTCCCTCTCAATGTAAGACTGACCTCTAACCTGAACACTAACAGGCTTCCAAAATTGTCAAAGACTCCAGCCACCCTAGTCATAGACTGTTCTCTCTGCTACCGCACGGCAAGCGGTACCGGAGTGCCAAGTCTAGGTCCAAAAGACTTCTCAACAGCTTCTACCCCCAAGCCATAAGACTCCTGAACAGCTAATCATGGCTACCCGGACTATTTGCACTGCCCCCCCCACCCCATCTTTTTACGCTGCTGCTACTCTGTTAATTATTTATGTATAGTCACTTAACTCTACCCACATGTACATATTACCTCAACTACCTCAACTAGCCGGTGCCCCCGCACATTGACTCTGCACCGGTACCTCCCTGTATATATAGCCTCCCTACTGTTATTTTATTTTACTGCTGCTCTTTTTTTCTCAACACTTTTTTGTTGTTGTTTTATTTTACTTTTTTTTATAAAAATAAATGCACTGTTGGTTAAGGGCTGTAAGTAAGCATTTCACTGTAATGTCTGCACCTGTTGTATTCGGCGCATGTGGCCAATAAAATGTGATTTGATTTGATTTGATTTATGGGCCGTAACTTTAGCAGAGTGTGAGACGCTACAAACACACACACCAATACACACACACACACCAATACACACACCAATACACACACACCCAAACACACACCAATACACACACACCAATACCACACACACACCAATACACACACCAATACACACACCAACACACACACCAATACACACACACACCAATACACACACACCAATACACACACACACCAAACACACACACCAATACACACCACACACACCAATACACACACACACCAATAACACCACACACACACCAAACACACCACACCAAACACACAACACACACACACCAATACACACACACACCAAAACACACACACACATCAATATACACACACACACACACCAATACACACACACACCAATACACACACACACACCAACACACCCACACACCAATACCAACACACACCAATACACACACACACCAATACACACAACACACACACCAATACACACGTAACACACACCAATACACACAACACCACAACACACAATACACACACACAAAACACACACAAATACACAAACACACCACACACAAACACACACAATACACACAACACACAACCACAACACACAAAACAACCACATACACCACACACCAATACAAAACACACACACAACACAACCAAACACAACACACACCAATACAACACCAACACACACAATACAAACACACACACCACATACCAAACACACACACAACACAAAACACAAACCACACCAAACACAACACCAAACAAACAACACACACCCCAAATACAAACACACACACACCAAACACACACACACATACAACACCACCATACAAAACACACCACCACCAATACAAACGCAACACACCCCCAAAACACAACACACACAAACACAACACAACACCCAATACAAAACACAACACACCAACAAACACACACACACACCAATACAAAACCACACAACAAAACAACACAACACACACACACAATACCACACACACACCAATACACACACACCATCACACACACAACACACCAAACACACACACACTAATAAACACACACACATCAATATATTTTCTGCTGTCCTCTCCCTCCTCTGCTCTCCTCTGCTCTCTCTCTCTCTCGACTCTCCCTCTCTCTCTCTCTCTCGTCCTCCCAATTCTCTCTCTCTCTCTCTCCTCTCTCTCTCTATTCCATCCTCTCTCTCTCTCTCTCTCTCTCTCTCTCTCTCTCCTCTCCCCCTCTCCACTCCCCCTCTCTACTCCCCCTCTCTATCTATCCCTCTCTCTCTCCAGCTCATAAAGACGGTGGATCTGGACCCTGATTCTAACTACATCTTTGGGTTCCACCCCCATGGTGTTCTGGTGGCGGGGGGCTTTGGGAACTTCTGTACGGAGGCATCAGGGTTCTCCTCGCTGTTCCCTGGGCTGACCCCCTACCTCCTGATGCTGCCCTTCTGGTTCAGAATACCCTTCTTCAGGGACTACATCATGTGTGGAGGTTAGTACTCTAACCTCTGACCTATAACCCCTAATCTCTGACCCTAATACCCCTCTTCAGGGACTACATAGTGTGTGGAGGTTAGTAACCCTGACCTCTAACCCCTAATCTCTGACCCTAATACCCCTCTTCAGGGACTACATAGTGTGTGGAGGTTAGTAACCCTGACCCCTGACCCCTAATCTCTGACCCTAATACCCCTCTTCAGGGACTACATAGTGTGTGGAGGTTAGTAACCCTGACCCCTAATCTCTGACCCTAATACCCCTCTTCAGGGACTACATAGTGTGGAGGTTAGTAACCCTAACCCCTAACCCATAATCTCTGACCCTAATACCCCTCTTCAGGGACTACATAGTGTGTGGAGGTTAGTAACCCTAACCTCTAACCCCTAATCTCTGACCCTAATACCCCTCTTCAGGGACTACATAGTGTGTGGAGGTTAGTAACCCTGACCTATAACCCCTAATCTCTGACCCTAATACCCCTCTTCAGGGACTACATAGTGTGTGGAGGTTAGTAACCCTGACCCCTAATCTCTGACCCTAATACCCCTCTTCAGGGACTACATAGTGTGTGGAGGTTAGTAACCCTGACCTATAACCCCTAATCTCTGACCCTAATACCCCTCTTCAGGGACTACATAGTGTGTGGAGGTTAGTAACCCTGACCCCTAACCCCTAACCTCTGACCCTAATACCCCTCTTCAGGGACTACATAGTGTGTGGAGGTTAGTACTCTAACCTCTAACCCCTAATCTCTGACCCTAATACCCCTCTTCAGGGACTACATAGTGTGTGGAGGTTAGTAACCCTGACCCCTAACCCCTAATCTCTGACCCTAATACCCCTCTTCAGGGACTACATAGTGTGTGGAGGTTAGTAACCCTAACCCCTAATCTCTGACCCTAATACCCCTCTTCAGGGACTACATAGTGTGTGGAGGTTAGTAACCCTGACCTTTAACCCCTAATCTCTGACCCTAATACCCCTCTTCAGGGACTACATAGTGTGTGGAGGTTAGTAACCCTGACCCCTAACCCCTAATCTCTGACCCTAATACCCCTCTTCAGGGACTACATAGTGTGTGGAGGTTAGTAACCCTGACCTTTAACCCCTAACCTCTGACCCTAATACCCCTCTTCAGGGACTACATAGTGTGTGGAGGTTAGTAACCCTGACCCCTAACCCCTAATCTCTGACCCTAATACCCCTCTTCAGGGACTACATAGTGTGTGGAGGTTAGTAACCCTGACCTCCAACCCCTAATCTCTGACCCTAATACCCCTCTTCAGGGACTACATAGTGTGTGGAGGTTAGTAACCCTGACCCCTAATCTCTGACCCTAATACCCCTCTTCAGGGACTACATAGTGTGTGGAGGTTAGTAACCCTGACCCCTAATCTCTGACCCTAATACCCCTCTTCAGGGACTACATAGTGTGTGGAGGTTAGTAACCCTGACCCCTAACCCCTAATCTCTGACCCTAATACCCCTCTTCAGGGACTACATAGTGTGTGGAGGTTAGTAACCCTGACCCCTAACCCCTAATCTCTGACCCTAATAACCCTCTTCAGGGACTACATAGTGTGTGGAGGTTAGTAACCCTGACCTCTGACCTATAACCCTTGACCCTAATACCCCTCTTCAGGGACTACATAGTGTGTGGAGGTTAGTAACCCTGACCCCTAACCCCTAATCTCTGACCCTAATACCCCTCTTCAGGGACTACATAGTGTGTGGAGGTTAGTAACCCTGACCCCTAACCCCTAACCTCTGACCCTAATACCCCTCTTCAGGGACTACATAGTGTGTGGAGGTGAAGCTGAGTCTCTGTGAGCTGTCTGAGTGGTTAGTGTGTGTAGTGTGTGTAGTGTGTAGTGTGTGTAGTGTGTGTAGTGTGTGTAGTGTGTAGAGTGTGTGTGTAATGTGTGTGTGTGTACACACTGTGTTTTCTCAGTCACAGGGTTGTCCAGTTGTGAAAGTTTCTGTTGAAATGTCTGACAACGCTGACCAAGTAGGTAACACTGACACACACTGACACACACACACACACACACACATATCTCCCCCCTCCTGACTCAACTCTATTTCACAACAGGCCAGTGGCTGACTGCGTAAATACAGTGTGTGAGCTCGCATGTACTTGTCTGTGTGTTACCTTCAGTGTCAATAGGTCCTGAATACATGTCTCTCTCTCTGTGTCTACAGGGTCACCTTCAGAACATCCTGAATACATGTCTCTCTCTCTCTCTACAGGGTCACCTTCAGAACATCCTGAATACATGTCTCTCTCTCCTCCTACAGGGTCACCTTCAGAACATCCTGAATACATGGTCTCTCTCTGTGTCACCTTCAGAACATCCTGAATACATGTCTCTCTCTCTGTTGTCTACGGTCACCTTCAGAACATCCTGAATACATGTCTCTCTCCTCTCTCTACAGGGTCACCTTCAGCAACATCCTGAATACATGTCTCTCTGGTGTTGTCTACAGGGTCACCTCAGAACATCCTGAATACCTGTCTCTCTCTGTGGTCTACAGGGTCACATTCAGAACATCCTGAATACAGCTCTCTTGTGTGTCTACAGGGTCACTTCAGAACATCTGAATAACATGTCTCTCTTATCTGTGTCTAAAGGGTCACCTTCAGAACATCCTGAATTACAGGTCTCTCTCTTCTTACAGGGTTAACCTTCAGAACATCCTGAATAATGTCTCTCTCTGTCTCAACAGGGTCACCTTCAGAACATCCTGAATACATGTCTCTCTCTGTTCTCTACAGGGTCACCTTCAGAACATCCTGAATACATGTCTCTCTCTGTCTCTACAGGGTAACCTTCAGAACATCCTGAATACATGTCTCTCTCTGTCTCTACGGGTTACCTTCAGAACATCCTGAATACATGTCTCTCTCTTGTCCTACGGGTCACCTTCAGAACATCCTGAATACATGTCTCTCTCTGTCTCTACAGGGTCACCTTCAGAACATCCTGAATACATGTCTCTCTCTGGTCTACAGGTCACCTTCAGAAACATCCTGAATACATGTCTCTCTCTCTGTGTCTACAGGGTCACCTTCAGAACATCCTGAATACATGTCTCTCTTGTCTCTACAGGGTCACCTTCAGAACATCCTGATACATGTCCTCCTCTTCTGTTCTACAGGGTCACCTTCAGAACATCCTGAATACATGTCTCTCTCTCGTGTCTACATGGTCACCTTCAGAACATCCTGAATAACATGTCTCTCTCTCTACAGGGTCACCTTTCAGAACATCCTGAATACATGTCTCTCTCTCTGTGTCCTACATGGGTCACCTTCAGAACATCCTGAATACATGTCTCTCTCTCTGTGTCTACAGGGTCACCTTCAGAACATCCTGAATACATGTCTCATCTCTGTGTCTACAGGTCACCTTCAGAACATCCTGAATACAATGTCTCTCTCTCTCTCTACAAGGGTCACCTTCAGAACATCCTGAATACATGTCTCTCTCTCTGGTGTCTACAGGGTCACATTCAGAACATCCTGAATACATGTCTCTCTCTGTCTCTACAGGGTCACCTTCAGAACATCCTGAAATACATGTCTCTCTCTCTCCTCTACAGGGTCACCTTCAGAACATCCTGAATACATGTCTCTCTCTCTGTGTCTACAGGGTCACCTTCAGAACATCCTGAATACATGTCCTCTCTCTCTGTGTCTACAGGGTCACCTTCAGAACATCCTGAATACATGTCTCTCTCTCGTCTCTACAGGTCACCTTCAGAACATCCTGAATACATGGTCTCTCTCTGTGTCTACAGGGGTCACCTTCAGAACATCCTGAATACATGTCTCCAAATACCATCTCTCTGTCTCGACAGGGTCCAACCTTCAGAACATCCGGAATAAATGTCCTCTCCTCTGTGTCTACAGGGTCACCCTTCAGAACATCCCTGAATACATGTCTCTTCTCTGTGTCTAACAGGGTTCACCTTCAGAACATCCTGAATACATGTCCTCTCTCTCTGTGCTCTACACAGGGTCACCCTTCAGAACATCCTGACTACATGTCTCTCTCTGTGTCGACCGGGTTCAACCGTCAGAACATCCCGAATGACATGTCTCTCTCTGTGTGTCTACAGGGTCAACGCTTCAGAACATCCTGAAATACATGTCTCTCTCTCTGTGTCTCCAGGGCACCATTCAGAACATCCTGAAAATACATGTCTCTCTCATCTGTGTCTAGCAGGTCACCTTCAGAAACAGCCTGAAACAATGGCTCTCTCTGTGTCTACAGGGTCCACCTTCAGAACATCCTGAATACCATGTCCTCTCTTCTGTGTCCTACAGGGGTCACCTTCAGAACAGCGTGAATAACATGTCTCTCTCTCTACAGGGTCACCTTCTAAACATCCTGAATACATGTCTCTCTCCTCTGTGTCTACAGGGTCACCTTCAGAACATCCTGAATACATGTCTCTCTCTCTGGCTGTCTACAGGGTCACCTTCATAACATCCTGATACAGTGTCTCTCTCTTCTGTCTCTACAGGGTCTCCACCTTCAGAACATCCTGAATACATGTCTCTCTCTCTGTGTCTACAGGGTCACCTTCAGAACATCCTGAATACATGTCTCTTCGTCCTGTGTCTGACTAGGTCCCTTCAGAACATCCTGAATACAGCTCTCTCGTCCTCAAAATCCTGAATCTGTCTCTCTGTGTCACCTTCAGAACATCCTGAATACATGTCTCTTCTGTGTCTACAGGGTCACCTTCAGAACATCCTGAATCATTCTCTACTCTGTGTCTCGTCACCTTCAGAACATCCTGAATACATGTCTCTCTCTGTGTCTACAGGGTCACCTCAGAACATCCTGAATACATGTCTCTCCTCTCGTGTCTACAGGGTCACCTTCAGAACATCCTGAATACCATGTCTCTCTCTGTGTCTACAGGGTCACCTTCAGAACATCCTGAATACATGTCTCTCTCCTCTGGGTCTACAGGGTCTCCTTCAGAACATCCTGAATACATGTCTCTCTCTCCTGTCTACAGGGTCACCTTCAGAACATCCTGAATACATGTCTCTCTCTGCTACAGGGTCACCTTCAGAAACATCCTGAATACATGTCCTCTCTCTCTCTGTGTCTACAGGGTCACCTTCAGAACATCCTGAATACATGTCTCCTCTCTGTGTCTACAGGGTCACCTTCAGAACATCCTGAATACATGTCTCTCTCTCTTCTGTGTCTACAGGGTCACCTTCAGAACATCCTGAATACATGTCTCTCTCTCTACAGGGTCACCTTCAGAACATCCTGAATACATGGTCTCTCTCTCCTCTGTGTCTACAGGGTCACCTTCAGAACATCCTGAATACATGTCTCTCTCTGTCTACAAGGGTCACCTTCAGAACATCCTGAATACATGTCCTCTCTCTGTGTCTACAGGGTCACCTTCAGAACATCCGAATACATGTCTCTCTCTCTCTCTGTGTCTACAGGCTCACCTTCAGAACATCCTGAAAGCCATGTCTCTCTCTCTGTGTCTACAGGGTCACCTTCAGAAACATCCTGAATATACATGTCTCTCTCTGTGTCTACAGGGTCACATTCAGAACATCCTGAATACATGTCTCTCTCTCTGTGTCTACAGGGTCACCTTCCAGAACATCCTGAATACATGTCTCTCTCTGTGTTACAGGGGTCACCTTCAGAACATCCTGAATACATGTCTCTCTCTGTGTCTACAGGGTCACATTCAGAACATCCTGAATACAGTCTCTCTCTCTGTGTCTACAGGGTCACCTCAGAACATCTGAATACATGTCTCTCTCTGTGTCTACAGGGTCACATTCAGAACATCATCCTGAATACATGTCTCTCTCTCTGTGTCTACAGGGTCACCTTCAGAACATCCTGAATACATGTCTCTCTCTCTGTGTCTACAGGTCACCTTCAGAACATCCTGAATACATGTCTCTCTCTGTGTCTACAGGGTCACCTTCAGAACATCCTGAATACATGTCTCTCTCTGTGTCTACAGGGTCACCTTCAGAACATCCTGAATACATGTCTCTCTCTGTGTCTACAGGGTCACCTTCAGAACATCCTGAATACATGTCTCTCTCTGTGTCTACAGGGTCACATTCAGAACATCCTGAATACATGTCTCTCTCTGTGTCTACAGGGTCACCTTCAGAACATCCTGAATATGTGTGTGTGTATTGTGTCTGTGTGTGTGTGTAATTGGGGTTAGGGTGTGTGTGTGTGTAATTGGGTTTAGGGTGTGTAATGTGTGTGTAATTGGGGTTAGGGTGTGTAATGTGTGTGTAATTGGGGTTAGGGTGTGTAATGTGTATAATGTGTTTATGCCAGGTCTGGTATCCAGTGAGAAAGCCAGTCTGTCCTTCCTGGTCTCCTAGAGGGGTTAGGGTTAGGGTGTGTAATGTGTGTGTAATTGGGGTTAGGGTGTGTAATGTGTGTAATTGGGGTTAGGGTGTGTAATGTGTGTGTAATTGGGGTTAGGGTGTGTAATGTGTGTAATTGGGGTTAGGGTGTGTAATGTGTGTGTAATTGGGGTTAGGGTGTATAATGTGTGTGTAATTGGGGTTAGGGTGTGTAATGTGTATAATGTGTTTATGCCAGGTCTGGTATCCAGTGAGAAAGCCAGTCTGTCCTACCTGGTCTCAGCTCCTAGAGGAGGTAATGTGGCGGTGGTGGCTGTAGGGGGCGCTCCAGAGTCTCTAGACGCCCGGCCAGGAGCTCTCACCCTTCAGGTTCTACACCGCAAGGGATTCATCAAACTGGCACTCAAACACGGGTAGGTCTGAAACACGGGTAGGTCTGAAACACGGGTAGGTCTGAAACACGGGTAGGTCTGAAACACGGGTAGGTCTGAAACACAGGTAGGTCTGAAACACGGGTAGGTCTGAAACACGGGTAGGTCTGAAACACGGGTAGGTCTGAAACACGGGTAGGTCTGAAACACAGGTAGGTTTGAACAAGGTTGGGGTCAATTCCATTTAAATTCCAGTCAATTCTGAAAGTAAACCGTATTCCTGGGTCCTGGGGGGTGCAGCGGTCTAAAGCCCTACAGCCTAAGGGTCGATCCGGGCCGTGTCACAACCGGCCATGTCCGGGAGCCGTGTCCGGGAGCCGTGTCCGGGAGCCGTGTCACAACCGGCCGTGTCCGGGAGCCGTGTCCGGGATCCGTGTCCGGGAGCCGTGTCACAACCGGCCGTGTCCGGGAGCCCCATAGGACGGCTCCCGGTCGTGATAAGAAGTAGGCGGCCAGGCGGGTCATTGCAGAGATGAGCCAAGGGTTAGGGTTACACGCCTGTTCTGGGTCGGGCCTGGTTAGTGCTGGGATGGAGACAGCCTGTTCAGGGTCGGGCCTGGTTAGTACGGGCCTGGTTAGTGGTGGGATGGAGACAGCCTGTTCAGGGCCTGGTTAGTGCTGGGATGGAGACAGCCTGTTCAGGGTCGGGCCTGGTTAGTACGGGCCTGGTTAGTGCTGGGATGGAGACAGCATGTTCAGGGTCGGGCCTGGTTAGTACGGGCCTGGTTAGTGCTGGGATGGAGACAGCCTGTTCAGGGTCGGGCCTGGTTAGTACGGGCCTGGTTAGTACTGGGATGGAGACAGCCTGTTCAGGGTCGGGCCTGGTTAGTACGGGCCTGGTTAGTGCTGGGATGGAGACAGCCTGTTCAGGGTCAGGCCTGGTTAGTACGGGCCTGGTTAGTACTGGGATGGAGACAGCCTGTTCAGGGTCGGGCCTGGTTAGTACGGGCCTGGTTAGTGCTGGGATGGAGACAGCATGTTCAGGGTCGGGCCTGGTTAGTACGGGCCTGGTTAGTACTGGGATGGAGACAGCCTGTTCAGGGTCGGGCCTGGTTAGTACGGGCCTGGTTAGTACTGGGATGGAGACAGCCTGTTCAGGGTCGGGCCTGGTTAGTACGGGCCTGGTTAGTGCTGGGATGGAGACAGCCTGTTCAGGGTCAGGCCTGGTTAGTACGGGCCTGGTTAGTGCTGGGATGGAGACAGCCTGTTCAGGGTCGGGCCTGGTTAGTACGGGCCTGGTTAGTACTGGCATGGAGACAGCCTGTTCAGGGTCGGGCCTGGTTAGTACGGGCCTGGTTAGTACTGGGATGGAGACAGCCTGTTCAGGGTCAGGCCAGGTTAGTACGGGCCTGGTTAGTACTGGGATGGAGACAGCATGTTCAGGGTCAGGCCAGGTTAGTACGGGCCTGGTTAGTACTGGGATGGAGACAGCATGATGGAGACAGCATGTTCAGGGTCGGGCCTGGTTAGTACTGGGATGGAGACAGCCTGTTCAGGGTCGGGCCTGGTTAGTACGGGCCTGGTTAGTACTGGGATGGAGACAGCCTGTTCAGGGTCGGGCCTGGTTAGTGGTGGGATGGAGACAGCCTGTTCAGGGTCGGGCCTGGTTAGTGGTGGGATGGAGACAGCCTGTTCAGGGTCGGGCCTGGTTAGTGGTGGGATGGAGACAGCCTGTTCAGGGTCGGGCCTGGTTAGTGGTGGGATGAAGACAGCCTGTTCAGGGTTGGGCCTGGTTAGTGGTGGGATGGAGACAGCCTGTTCAGGGTCAGGCCTGGTTAGTACTGGGATGGAGACAGCCTGTTCTGGGTCGGGCCTGGTTAGTACTGGGATGGAGACAGCCTGTTCAGGGTCAGGCCTGGTTAGTACTGGGATGGAGACAGCATGTTCAGGGTCGGGCCTGGTTAGTACTGGGATGGAGACAGCCTGTTCTGGGTCGGGCCTGGTTAGTGGTGGGATGGAGACAGCCTGTTCTGGGTCGGGCCTGGTTAGTGGTGGGATGGAGACAGCATGTTCAGGGTCAGGCCTGGTTAGTACGGGCCTGGTTAGTACTGGCATGGAGACAGCCTGTTCAGGGTCAGGCCTGGTTAGTACTGGGATGGAGACAGCATGTTCAGGGTCGGGCCTGGTTAGTGGTGGGATGGAGACAGCCTGTTATGGGTCGGGCCTGGTTAGTGGTGGGATGGAGACAGCCTGTTCAGGGTCGGGCCTGGTTAGTACGGGCCTGGTTAGTGCTGGGATGGGAGACAGCCTGTTCAGGGTCGGGCCTGGTTAGTACGGGCCTGGTTAGTGCTGGGATGGAGACAGCCTGTTCAGGGTCGGGCCTGGTTAGTACTGGGATGGAGACAGCCTGTTCAGGGTCGGGCCTGGTTAGTGCTGGGATGGAGACAGCCTGTTCAGGGTCGGGCCTGGTTAGTACGGGCCTGGTTAGTACTGGGATGGAGACAGCCTGTTCAGGGTCGGGCCTGGTTAGTACTGGGATGGAGACAGCCTGTTCAGGGTCGGGCCTGGTTAGTGCTGGGATGGAGACAGCCTGTTCAGGGTCGGGCCTGGTTAGTACGGGCCTGGTTAGTACTGGGATGGAGACAGCCTGTTCAGGGTCGGGCCTGGTTAGTACTGGGATGGAGACAGCCTGTTCAGGGTCGGGCCTGGTTAGTGCTGGGATGGAGACAGCCTGTTCAGGGTCGGGCCTGGTTAGTACGGGCCTGGTTAGTACTGGGATGGAGACAGCCTGTTCAGGGTCGGGCCTGGTTAGTACGGGCCTGGTTAGTGCTGGGATGGAGACAGCCTGAAAAAAAGAAAAAAAAGAAAGTAAGCCGAATTTCAATTCCAAATGTTCCTAATTTAAAAGCAGTGAAGAGAATTGGATTTCTTGTTTAAATATCAGTTTACTTCCTGAATTGACTGGAATTTAACTGGAATTTACCCCAATCCTGGGTCTGAAACACGGGTAGGTTTGAAGCATGTCTGAACACGGGTAGGTGTGAAACACGGGTAGATGTTAAACATGGGTAGGCTAAAAGCACGTCTGAACACAGGTAGGTATGAAACAAGGGTAGATGTGAAACATGGGTAGGTCTGAGACACGGGTAGGTTAAAACTGAAACACGGGTATTCAATCTAGTAATTCAATATTACGTGTGGTGTGTGTAATGTTTAAGTACTGTATGTGTGTGGTGTTCCTTAGGGCCCAGCTGGTCCAATTGTAATGTTATTGCCAAGCTGGTCCCAGTGTAATGCTAATCCCCAGCTGGTTCCAGTGTAATGTTAATGCCCAGCTGGTCCCAGTGTAATGCTAATGCACAGCTGGTTCCAGTGTAATGCTAATGCCCAGCTGGTCCCAGTGTAATATTATTGCCCAGTTGTTCCCAGTTTAGTGTTAATGCCCAGATGGTCCCAGTGTGATGTTGATGCCCAGCTGGTCCCATTGTAGTGTTAATCCCCAGATGGTCCCAGTGTAATGTTGATGCCCAGCTGGTCCCAGTGTAATGTTAATGCCCAGATGGTCCCAGTGTAATGTTATTCCCCAGCTGGTCCCAGTGTAATGTTGATGCCCAGCTGGTCCCAGTGTAATGTTATTGCCCAGCTGGTCCCAGTGTAATGTTAATGCCCAGATGGTCCCAGTGTAATGTTAATCCCCAGCTGGTCCCAGTGTAATGTTATTGCCCAGTTGTTCCCAGTGTAGTGTTAATGCCCAGTTGTTCCCAGTGTAGTGTTAATGGCCAGCTGGTCCCATTGTAATGTTAATGCCCAGATGGTCCCAGTGTTTAGGGGGGAGTATGTAAACCAGTTGAACCACTTTAATATGTTTAATTTGTTATTTTATATGTGAGATAAGATGACAAACATTAGGCTGGGTATCAGTCAAGCAAGAACTGATGAGAAGTTTGATGACATGTGCCCAAGCCTACCACGCAAAGGCACTATGGAGTTATTTTCCCAGGTTGACTCAGACATGCACAGGAAAGTGATATCACAACTTAAGCCTTCTACCTGCCTTCTCGATCCTATCCCCACCACCTTCTTCAAAACAGTTAATTGCATATCTGAAGAAGTGCAAGCTATTGCTAATCACTCCCTGTTCACAGGCACTTTCCCCACTGCACTACAAACTGCTATGGTGAAACCCCTTCTGAAGAAAAGTCATCTGGATTCTTCAGCTCTTAGCAATTTTCGGCCAATCTCCAATCTTCCATTCTTAGGCAAAATTCTGGACAAATTAGTTTTCAAATTATTCCTATCTGTTTTTTGTGCAGAGACAGCCTTAGCTAAAGTGATAAATGATCTTAGAGCCAACACAGATGCCAAACAGCTCTCTGTCCTTGTGCTCTTGGATTTAAGTGCCGCATTCGACACTGTTGACCATGATGTCCTTCTGGACAGACTGGAGAGGTGGTTGGCCTCTGTTGACCATGATGTCCTTCTGGACAGACTGGAGAGGTGGGTTGGCCTCTGCTGACCATGATGTCCTTCTGGCCAGACTGGAGAGGTGGTTGACCTCTGCTGACCATGATGTCCTTCTGGACAGCCTGGAGAGGTGGGTTGGCCTTTTCAGTCCAGTTCTAAATTGGTTTAAGACCAATTTAACCGGTCGAGAGTTTTTGGTCACCCTTGGTGTTGACAATATGGCACCAATAGACATGGCAGCTCTACTTCTAGCTCCTTAGCCACTTTGCAGTATTTTTTATGTATTTGTGTGTTTTTCTTACATTATTAGCCCAGAATGTTTTTTGCATTATTACATACAGACGGAAAGAACTTCTGGATATCAAAGCGGTGGTAACTCACCAGCATTTCGACCAGAAATACGACTTTCCTGAATTGGATCCTTTGTTCGTACCCCCCAAAGCGATTGAATTTACAGCGCATTTGGAAAGTATTCAGACCCCTTCCCCTTTTCCACATTTTGTTACGTTACAGCCTTATTCTAAAATTGATTAAATTAATTGTTTTCCTCACAATACCCCATAATTGTCATGACTTCCTCCAAAGCTGCCTCCTCTCCTTGTTAGGGCAGGCTTCGGCGTTCGTCGTCACCGGCCTTCTAGCCACTGCCGCTCCTCATCTCATCATTCCATTTGTTTTGTCTTGTTTTTACACACACCTGGTTCATATCCCGTCATCAGTACCTGTATAAATATTCCCTCTGCCCCCCATGTCTTTGTGTGTGATTGTTTATTGTGGAGGTGACGGTAGCTCGGTGGAGCTTTATATATTTGCATCGCCAGGATATTCACCCGTGTGCTTTGTTTTCTCCAGTGTGCCGTTATACCGCACTGTAGTGTTTTACTCATTGCTGCGTACCGCTGTATTTGCCGAACAAACCATTTATTCTGTAATTTACCCTCCTGTGCCTGACTCCATCAAAATCACCCGCTACAATAATGATAAAGTGAAAACAGGTTTTCAGATTGTTTTGCAAATTTATTACAAATAAAAAACAGAAATACCTTATTTACAAGTATTCAGACCCTTTGCTATGAGACTAAAAATTAAGCACAGGCGCGTCCTGTTTTCATTGATCATCCTTGAGATATTTCTACAACTTGATTGGAGTTCACCTGTCGTAAATTCAATTGATTGGACATGACCTGCAAAGGCACACACCTGTCTATATAAGGTCCCACAGTTGACAGCGCATATCAAAGTAAAAACCAAGCCATGAGGTCGAAGGAAATGTCTGTAGAGCTCTGAGACAGGATTGTGTCGAGGCACAGATCTGGGTAAGGGTACAAAAAACAAAAACAAATTCTGCAGCAATGAAGGTCCCCAAGAACAGGAGCAAGCCAACCAAGAGGTTGAGACGACTCTGCGCTGCCTGATCTCCGCCAACCCCACCACATGAAGCCAGCAACTAGTGTGGGTTGAATACGCCCTCAACACCCTTCCCTGCTCTGCCACAGGTCTTTCAACCTTTGAGTGTTCCCTGGGTTATCAGCTCCCGCTCTTCCCAGAGCAAGAGAAAGAGGTCGGCATACCCTCGGCCCAGATGTTTGTCCGCCGCTGTCGTTGTACCTTCTGTTGCCCCGTACCCTCCATATACATCCCACATTTCATGTGTCTAGGATCAAACCCATGTCTCACAGCCCTTTGTCTCCTGTTTCCAGGCCCACCCCTCTCCCTGTCTCATCGACGGCCAGCTGGCCGTGTTGTGAGGCGTCTCCTGAAGGTTCGACCTTGGGGCAGGGGATTCCAGTACCTGGTTGACTGGGAGGGTTATGGCCCAGTGGAGAGGTGCTGGGTCCCCGCTAGGGACATCCTAGACCCAGGCCTCATCGCTGAGTTTCAACGCCGACACCCCGGTCAACCAGGTATGCACCCAGGTAGGACGCCAGGCCCTAGAGGGGGGATACTGTCACACCCTGATCTGTTTCACCTGTCTTTGTGATTGTCTCCAACCCCTCCAGGTGTCGCCCATCTTCCCCATTATCCCCAGTGTATTTATACCTGTGTTTTCTGTTTGTCTGTTGCCAATTTGTTTTGTTTCGTCAAGCCTACCAGCGTTTTTCCCCTTGCTCCTGTCTTTCTCAAGTTCCTGTTTTCTAGTTTTCCCGGTTTTGACCATTCTGCCTGCCCTGACCCTGAGCCTGCCTGCCATTTGGTACCTTGTCACACAACCCTGAATAATTTACCTCTGCCTGCCCTGACCCTGAGACTGCCTGCCGTTCTGTACCTTTTGGACTCTGATCTGGATTACTGACCTCTGCCTGCCCTTGACCTGTTGTTTGCCTGCCCCCTGTTTTTGTAATCAACTTTTGTTACTTCGACACTGTCTGCATCTGGGTCTTCTCCTGAAACGTGATAACTCGCTAATGTCCCTGGACAATAAAGTAGACGAGCTCAGGGCGAAGATTTCCTTCCAGAGAGACATCAGGGACTGTAACATACTCTGTTTTACGGAATCATGGTTCTCTCCGGATATACTGTCCCCGTCCATGCAGCCAGCTGGGTTCTCAGTACATCGCGCAGATAGGAATAAAGAACTCTCCGGGAAGAAGAAAGGCGGAGGTGTTTCATGATTAACTACTCATGGTGTGATTGTGGTAACGTACAGGAACTCAAGTCCTTTTGTTCACTCGACCTTGAATACCTCACAATCAAATGCTGACTGCATTACCTCCCAAGAGAATTCTCTTCGGTTATTGTCACAGCTGTGTATTTTGGTATTTGGTATTTTATTAGGATCCCCATTAGCTGTTGAGAATGCAGCAGCTACTCTTCCTGGGGTCCACACACAACATTAAACATGACATAATACGGAACTACATTAATTATGTATATTCCCCCTCAAGCCGATACCATGACGGCTCAAAAGGAACTACACTGGACTTTGTGCAAACTGGAAACCGCATATCCTGAGGCCGCATTTATTGTAGCTGGGGACTTTGACAAAGCAAATCTGAGGGATACTCTTCCAAAGTTCTATCAACACATTGCCTGTAGTACTCGCGCTTCGAAAACGTTCAATCATTGTTACTCTCCCTTCCGGGATGGCTATAAGGCCCTCCCCCGCCCTCCCTTTGGCAAGTCAGATCATGACTCCATTCTGCTCCTCCCTTCCTATAGGCAGAAACTCAAAGAGGAAGTACCCGTGCTAAGGTCTATTCAATGTTGGTCAGACCAATCGGAATCAATGCTTCAAGATTGTTTTGATCATGTGGACTTGGATATGTTCCGGGTTGCCTCTGAGAATAACATTGACATGTAAACGGTCACGGAGACTGAGTTAATCAGGGAGTGTATAGGGGATGTTGTTCCCACTGTGACAATTAAAACCTACCAAACCAAAAACCGTTTCAAGGTGACTGGGAATATGGTAGAATACAAACAGTCCAGTTATGCCCTCCATAAGGGAATCAAACAGGCAAAACATCAGTACAGAGACAAAGTGTAGTCGCAATTCAAAGGCTCAGACCAGAGACGTATGTGGCATGGACTCCAGACAATCACGGATTACAAAGGGAAAACCAGGCACATCGTGGACACCAGCGTCTTGAAACACCTTCTTCGTCTGCTTTGAGGATAACACCGTGCCACCTATGCAGCCACTCCCGAGGACTGTGAGCTTTCGTTCTCCACGGTCGACGTGAGTAAGACATTTAAGCGTGTTAACCCTAGCAAGGCTGCCGGCCCAGACGGCATCCCTAGCCGCGTCCTCAGAGCATGTGCAGACCAGCTGGCTGGTGTGTTTACGGACATATTCAATCTCTCCCTTTCCCAGTCTGCTGTCCCCTCTTGCTTCAAGATGTCCACCATTGTTCCTTTACCCAAGAAAGCAAAGGTAATTGAACTAAATGTCTATCGCCCCATAGCGCTTTGAAGTGCTTTGAGAGGCTAGTTAAGGATCATATCACCTCGCCTTTGCACTGCACACTGCCCTATCCCATCTGGACAAGAGGAATACCTATGTTAGAATGCTGTTCATTGACTGTAGCTCAGCCTTCAACACCATAGTAAGCTCCAAGCCCATCATTAAGCTCGGGGCCCTGGGTCTGAACCCCGCCCTGTGCAACTGGGTCCTGGATTTCCTGACAGGCCGCCCCCAGGTGGTGAAGATAGGAAACAACACCTCCACTTCGCTGATCCTCAACACAGGGGCCCCACAAGGGTGCGTGCTAAGCTCCCTCCTGTACTCCCTGTTCACCCATGACTGCGTAGCCACGCACATCCCAACACAATCATCAAGTATGCAGACGACACAACAGTGGTAGGCCTGATTACAACAACGACGAGACAGCCTACAGGGAGGAGGTGAGGGCCTTGGCAGAGTGGAGCCAGGAAAATAACCTCTCTCTCAACGTCAACAAAACGAAGCAGCTTATTGTGTACTTCAGGAGACAGCAGAGGGAGCACGCCCCTATCCACATCGACGGGGCCGCAGTGGAGAAGGTAAAAAGCTTCAAGTTCCTCTGCGAATACATCAATGACAATCTGAAATGGTCAATCCAACAACGCCTTTTCAAATTCAGGAGGCTGAAGAAATTCAGCTGCACTGTTGGTGCTACACAAGCATTTCACCATAACAGAGAAAATAGAAAACTCAGAGAAAATAGATATAACATGTGGCGTTCCACAAGATTCGATTTTGGGACCGGTTCAGTTTATGTACACTATACAGTATATACAAATGTATGTGGACACCCCTTCAAATTAGTGGATTCGGTTATTTCAGCCACACCCGTTGCTGACAGGTGTATAAAATCGAGCACACAGCCATGCAATCTCCATAGACAAACATTGGCAGTAGAATGGCCCGTACTGAAGAGCTCAGTGACTTTCAACGTGGCACCAATATATGATGTCACCTTTCCAACAAGTCAGTTCGTCAAAATTCTGCCCTGCTAGAGCTGCCCCGGCTCAGCCACGAAGTGGTAGGCCACATGTGCTCACAGAACGGGACTGCCGTGTGCTGAAACGTGTAACGCGTAAAAATCATCTGTCCTTGGTTGCAAAACTCACTACCGAGTTCCCAACTGCCTCTGGAAGCAACGTCAGCACAAGAACTGTTCGTCGGGAGCTTCATGAAATGGGTTTCCATGGCCGAGCAGCCATTGGACTCTGGAGTAGTGGAAACTCGTTCTCTGGAGTGATGAGTCACGCTTCACCATCTGGCAGTCCGACGGATTAATCTAGGTTTGGTGGATGCCAGGAAAATGCTACCTACCCGAATGCATAGTGCCAACTGTAAAGTTTGGTGGATGAGGAATAATGGTCTGGGGTTGTTTTTCATGGTTTGGGCTTTCATGGTTCGGGCTAGGCCCCTTAGTTCCAATGACATTCTAGACGATTCTGTGCTTCCAACTTTGTGGCAACAGTTTGGGGAAGGCCCTTTCCTGTTTCAGCATGACAATGCCCCTGTGTACAAAGCGAGGTCCATACAGAAATGGTTTGTCGAGATCGGTGTGGAAGAACTTGACTTGCCTGCACAGAGCCCTGACCTCAACCCCATCGAACACCTTTGGGATTAATTGGAACGCCGACTGCGAGCCAGGCCTAATCGCCCAACATCAGTGCCCGACCTCACTAATGCATCTTGTGGCTGAATGGAAGCAAGTCCCTGCAGCAATGTTCCAACATCTAGTGGAAAGCCTTCCCAGAAGAGTGGAGGCTGTTATAGCAGCAAACGGGGGACCCACCCAATATTAATGCCCATGATTTTGGAATGAGATGTTCGCCGAGCAGGTGTTCATATACTTTTGGTCATTTGGTGTATGTTACCCCTTGGCAGCATTATCAGAAAGCACAGCATTTATTTTCACTGCTACGCAGACGATACACAACTTTTTAGTTCCACAGATAAATTATCAGACTATATCAGTGATTTAAATAATTGGATGGCTCACAACTTCCTCCAGCTAAATCAAGTCAAGACCGAGGTACTTATTGTTGGAGCCAAAGCACAGAGAGAATCTGGCCGCAAATTTTAATTCACGGGCAATAAAGATAAAACACCAGGTAAAAAACAGTGTTTCTGAACTCAATTTCGAATCACACATTAGGAATGTTACCATAATAGCTTTTTACCACCTGAGGAACATTGCCAAGGTGCGGCTGTTTCTCTCTCAGGGTGGTACAGAGAGACTCCCTCAGGGTGGTACAGAGAGACTCCCTCAGGGTGGTACAGAGAGACTCCCTCAGGGTGGTACAGAGAGACTCATCCATGCTTGGCTTGACTACTGTAATGCTCTCCTGTCTGGTCTACCCAAGACAGCCATTGGTCAACTGCAAAACACTCAGAATGCTGCAGCACGGGTACTGACCAAGACCAGACGGAGAGCACACATTACACCGGTTTTACACCAGATAATGGCCGGGGACAAATTTAAATCAGTTTTACATTATTTCCACCAGCAAGCAGAAACAACTCTAAACTACACACACAGAGACGCGTACAAAGCTCTCCCTCGCCCTCCATTTGGCAAATCTGACCATCATTCTATTCTATTGATTCCTGCTTACAAGCAAAAACTAAAGCAGGAAGTACCAGTGACTCACTCAATACGGAAGTGGTCAGATGACGCAGATGCTAAGCTACAGGACTGTTTTGCTAGCACAGACTGGAATATGTTCCGGGATTCATCCAATGGCATTGAGGAGTACACCACCTCAGTCACTGGCTTCATCAATAAGTGCATTGATGATGTCGTCCCCACAGTGACCATACGTACATTTCCCAACCAGAAGCCATGGATTACAGGAAACATCCGCACTGAGCTAAAGGGTAGAGCTGCCGCTTTCAAGGAACGGGACTCTAACCCGGACGCTTATAAGAAATCCCGCTACGCCCTCAGATAAACCATCAAACAGGCAAAGCGTCAATACAGGACTAAGATTGAATCGTACTACACCGGCTCTGACACTCGTCGGATGTGGCAGGGCTTGTAAACTATTACAGACTACAAAGGGAAATCCAGCTGCGAGCTGCCCAGTGACGCGAGCCTACCAGATGAGCTAAATGCCTTTTATGCTCGCTTCGAGGCAAGCAACACTGAAGCATGCATGAGAGCATCATCTGTTCCGGACGACTGTGTGATCACGCTCTCCGTAGCTGATGTGAGCAAGACCTTTAAACAGGTCAACATTCACAAAGGTAAGCCAGACGGATTACCAGGACGTGTAATCAGAGCATGCGCGGACCAACTGGCAAGTGTCTTTACTGACATTTTCAACCTCTCCCTGACTGAGTCTGTAATACCTACATGTTTCAAGCAGACCACCATAGTCCCTGTGCCCAAGAAAGCAGAGGTGACCTGCCTAAATGACTACCGACCGTAGCACTCACCTCTGTAGCCATGTGTCACACCAACCTTCGCTTTGGCTCTCCCTCTTGTCCAGCTCAGGCTTTCGGCATCACCGGCCTTCTAGCTGCTGCCGAAACTACTGCTGGCAAACGCCCTTCACTCATCAACCCTTGTCTCGTCATCATTACACACACCTGGTTCCAATCCCCACTCTATCACTGTATATACAGTATACTCCCTCTGCCATTTGTCTTTGTCGGTCATTGTAAATGTTACTTGTTTTCCTGAGAGGAATCTCTCCTACTATTTCCTGAGTACTTTATATTTTGCACTTTGGGTTCGCCCTGTGCCTTTTTGTTTATGAAGATATATTTTGAGCACAACAGCGTTTGGTTTTCATCCCACTTTGATCGATGGTGCTTAAATAAATTCAGTACTTCTAAACCTGCAACTCCCTCCTGCACACTCCTCTCTACACCAGTGACACCATGAAGTGCTTTGAAAGGCTGGTCAATGAACACCATTATCCCAGAAACCCTAGACCCACTCCAATTCGCATACCGCCCCAACAGATCCACAGATGACGCAATCTCAAATGCACTCCACACTGCCCTTTCCCACCTGTACAAGAGGAACACCTATGTGAGAATGCTATTCATTGACTACAGCTCAGCGTTCAACACCATAGCGCCCTCAAAGCTCATCACTAAGCTAAGGACCCTGGGACTAAACACCTCCCTCTGCAACTGGATCCTGGACTTCCTGACAGGCCGCCCCCAGGTGGTAAGGGTAGGCAACAACACATCTGCCACGCTGATCTTCAACACGGGGGCCCCTCAGGGGTGCGTGCTCAGTCCCCTCCTGTACTCCCTGTTCACCCACGACTGCATGACCAAGTACGACTCCAACACCATCATCAAGTTTGCTGATGACACAATGGTGGTAGGCCTGATCACGACAACGATGAGAAAGCCTATAGGGAAGATGTCAGAGACCTGGCAGTGTGGTGCCAGGACAACAACCTCTTCCTCAATGTGAGCAAGACAAAGGAGCTGATCGTGGACTACAGGAAAAGGAGGGCCAAACACGCCCCCATTCACATCGACGGGCTGTAGTGGAACAGGTTGAGAGCTTCAAGTTCCTTGGTGTCCACATCACCAACAAACTAACATGGTCCAAACACACCAAGACAGTCGTGAAGAGGGCATGACAAAGCCTATTCTCCCTCAGGAGACTGAAAAGATTTGGCATGGGTCCTCAGCTCCTCAAAAAGTTCTACAGCTGCACCATCGATAGCATCCTGACAGGCTGCATCACCGCCTGGTACGGCAACTGCTCGGCATCTGACCGTAAGGCGTTACAGAGGGTAGTGCGTATGGCCCAGTACATCACTGGGGCCAAGCTTCCTGCCATCCAGGACCTCTATGCTAGGGCCCCAAAAATTGTGAAAGACTCCAGCCACCCTAGTCATAGACTGTTCTCTCTGCTACCCCACAGCAAGCGGTACCGAAGCGCCAAGTCTAGGTCCAAAAGGCTCCTTAACAGCTTCTACCCCCAAGCCATAAGACTGCTGAACAATTCATCAAATGGATACCCAGACTATTTGCATTGACTCGGTACCGGTACCCCCTGTATATAGCCTCGTTATTGTTATTTTATTGTGTTGTTTTTATTTATTTTTATTTTGTAACTTTTGTTAATTTAGTAAATATTTTCTTTACTCTTATTCTCTTCAAATGGCATTGTTGGTTAAGGGCTTGTCAGTCAGCATTTCACTGTAAGGTCTACACCTGTTGTATTTGGTGCATGTGACAAATAACATTTGATTTGATTTGCACTGGCTGCCAGTGAGTGAATTAATTTAAAGATTCTTCTATTGGTTTTTAAATCAATCCACAATTGTGCACCCTAATACATGTCAGACATGCTTTTGAGTTATGTACCCAGTAGGACCCTCAGGTCCTCTGGCACTGGCCTTTTAACCATCCCAAAGCCTAGGACCAAGAGGCATGGCGAGGCAGCCTTTAGTTACTATGCCCCCAGCCTCTGAGGCATGGAGAGGCAGCCTTTAGTTACCATGCCCCCAGCCTCTGAGGGATGGAGAGGCAGCCTTTAGTTACTATGCCCCCAGCCTCTGGGGCATGGGGAGGCAGCCTTTAGTTACTATGCCCCCAGCCTCTGGGGGATGGGGAGGCAGTCTTTAGTTACTATGGCCCCAGCCTCTGGGGCATGGGGAGGCAGCCTTGAGTTACTATGCCCCCAGCCTCTGCGGGATGGGGAGGCAGTCTTTAGTTACTATGCCCCCAGCCTCTGAGGGATGGGGAGGCAGCCTTTAGTTACTATGCCCCCAGCCTCTGGGGGATGGAGAGACAGCCTTTAGTTACTATGCCCCCAGCCTCTGGGGGATGGGGAGGCAGCCTTTAGTTACTATGCCCCCAGCCTCTGAGGGATGGAGAGGCAGCCTTTAGTTACTATGCCCCAAGCCTCTGGGGGATGGAGAGGCAGCCTTTAGTTACTATGGCCCCAGCCTCTGGGGGATGGGGAGGCAGCCTTTAGTTACTATGCCCCCAGCATCTGGGGGATGGGGAGGCAGCCTTTAGTTACTATGCCCCCAGCCTCTGGGGGATGGGGAGGCAGTCTTTAGTTACTATGCCCCCAGCCTCTGGGGGATGGAGAGGAAGCCTTTAGTTACTATGCCCCCAGCCTCTGGGGGATGGGGAGGCAGCCTTTAGTTACTATGCCCCCAGCCTCTGAGGGATGGAGAGGCAGCCTTTAGTTACTATGCCCCCAGCCTCTGGGGGATGGGGAGGCAGCCTTTAGTTACTATGCCCCCAGCCTCTGGGGGATGGGGAGGCAGTCTTTAGTTACTATGCCCCCAGCCTCTGAGGCATGGAGAGGCAGACTTTAGTTACTATGCCCCCAGCCTCTGAGGCATGGGGAGACAGCCTTTAGTTACTATGCCCCCAGCCTCTGGGGGATGGAGAGGAAGCCTTTAGTTACTATGCCCCCAGCCTCTGAGGGATGGAGAGGCAGCCTTTAGTTACTATGCCCCCAGCCTCTGAGGGATGGAGAGGCAGCCTTTAGTTACTATGCCCCCAGCCTCTGGGGGATGGGGAGGCAGCCTTTAGTTACTATGCCCCCAGCCTCTGGGGGATGGGGAGGCAGCCTTTAGTTACTATGCCCCCAGCCTCTGGGGGATGGGGAGGCAGCCTTTAGTTACTATGTCCCCAGCCTCTGGGGGATGGAGAGGCAGCCTTTAGTTACTATGCCCCCAGCCTCTGGGGGATGGAGAGGCAGCCTTTAGTTACTATGCCCCCAGCCTCTGAGGCATGGGGAGGCAGCCTTTAGTTACTATGCCCCCAGCCTCTGGGGCATGGGGAGACAGCCTTTAGTTACTATGCCCCCAGCCTCTGGGGCATGGAGAGGCAGCCTTTAGTTACTATGCCCCCAGCCTCTGGGGGATGGAGAGGCAGCCTTTAGTTACTATGCCCCCAGCCTCTGGGGGATGGGGAGGCAGCCTTTAGTTACTATGCCCCCAGCCTCTGGGGGATGGGGAGGCAGCCTTTAGTTACTATGCCCCCAGCCTCTGGGGGATGGGGAGGCAGCCTTTAGTTACTATGCCCCCAGCCTCTGGGGGATGGGGAGGCAGTCTTTAGTTACTATGCCCCCAGCCTCTGGGGGATGGAGAGGCAGCCTTTAGTTACTATGCCCCCAGCCTCTGGGGGATGGAGAGGCAGCCTTTAGTTACTATGCCCCCAGCCTCTGGGGGATGGAGAGGCCAGCCTTTAGTTACCATGCCCCCAGCCTCTGGGGCATGGGGAGGCAGTCTTTAGTTACTATGCCCCCAGCCTCTGGGGGATGGAGAGGCCAGCCTTTAGTTACTATGCCCCCAGCCTCTGGGGCATGGGGAGGCAGCCTTTAGTTACTATGGCCCCAGCCTCTGGGGGATGGAGAGGCCAGCCTTTAGTTACTATGGCCCCAGCCTCTGGGGGATGGAGAGGCCAGCCTTTAGTTACTATGCCCCCAGCCTCTGGGGCATGGAGAGGCAGCCTTTAGTTACTATGCCCCCAGCCTCTGGGGGATGGAGAGGCAGCCTTTAGTTACTATGCCCCCAGCCTCTGGGGGATGGAGAGGAAGCCTTTAGTTACTATGCCCCCAGCCTCTGAGGCATGGAGAGGCAGCCTTTAGTTACTATGCCCCCAGCCTCTGGGGGATGGAGAGGAAGCCTTTAGTTACTATGCCCCCAGCCTCTGGGGGATGGAGAGACAGCCTTTAGTTACTATGCCCCCAGCCTCTGAGGCATGGGGAGGCAGCCTTTAGTTACTATGCCCCCAGCCTCTGGGGGATGGAGAGGCAGCCTTTAGTTACTATGCCCCCAGCCTCTGGGGGATGGAGAGGCAGCCTTTAGTTACTATGCCCCCAGCCTCTGGGGCATGGAGAGGCAGCCTTTAGTTACTATGCCCCTATGCTTTGCTTTTCCTCAGGAGGCTTTTTTAGTCGTTCAGCCTTTATTGTTATTCTTTAGTTTGTTTTCCTCTTCTGTTTGCTGTGTAGTATTTCAGTTTTTTCTCTCCGTTTTTTTTCATTTATGTTTTTTCCTGTGAAGCGCATTGCGTTCAATCCATGTCTGAAATGTACTGTAGATATAAAGCTTGATTTGATGTTAATATACTGTATCTATAGGGCCCAGTTAGTCCCTGTGTTCTCCTTTGGGGAAAACGAGCTCTTCGACCAGATGACCAACCCTGCCGGCTCGCCACTCCGCTGGCTACAGGACCACCTGCAAAGGCTCATGGGAGTGGCACTGCCGCTGTTCACCGGGAGAGGAGTGTTCCAGTACAGCTTTGGTCTACTGCCCTACAGACAGCCCATACACACTGTTGGTACGACACACAACCTGCTGCCCTACAGACAGCCCATACACACTGTTGGTACGACACACAACCTGCTGCCCTACAGACAGTCCATACACACTGTTGGTACGACACACAACCTGCTGCCCTACAGACAGCCCATACACACTGTTGGTACGACACACAACCTGCTGCCCTACAGACAGCCCATACACACTGTTGGTACGACACACAACCTGCTGCCCTACAGACAGCCCATACAGACTGTTGGTACGACACACAACCTGCTGCCCTACAGACAGCCCATACACACTGTTGGTACGACACAACCTGCTGCCCTACAGACAGCCCATACAGACTGTTGGTACGACACACAACCTGCAGCCCTACAGACAGCCCATACACACTGTTGGTACGACACACAAACCTGCTGCCCTACAGACAGCCCATACACACTGTTGGTACGACACACAACCTGCTGCCCTACAGACAGCCCATACACACTGTTGGTACGACACACAACCTGCTGCCCTACAGACAGCCCATACACACTGTTGGTACGACACACAACCTGCTGCCCTACAGACAGCCCATACACACTGTTGATACGACACACAACCTGCTGCCCTACAGACAGCCCATACACACTGTTGGTACGACACACAACCTGCTGCCCTACAGACAGCCCATACACACTGTTGGTACGACACACAACCTGCTGCCCTACAGACAGCCCATACACACTGTTGATACGACACACAACCTGCTGCCCTACAGGACAGCCCATACACACTGTTGGTACGACACACAACCTGCTTGCCCCTACAGAAGCCCATACAACACTGTTGGTACGACACACAACCTGCTGCCCTACAGACAGCCCATACACACGGTTGGTACGACACACAACCTGCTGCCCTACAGACAACCCATACACCACTGTTGATACGACACACAACCTGCTGCACTACAGACAGCCCATACACACTGTTGGTACGAACACAACCTTGCTGCCCTACAGACAGCCCATACACACTGTTGGTACGACACACAACCTGCAGCCCTACAGACAGCCCATACAGACTGTTGGTACGACACACAACCTGCAGCCCTACAGACAGCCCATACACACTGTTGGTACGACACACAACCTGCTGCCCTACAGACAGCCTCTACAGACTGTTGGTACACAAACCCTTTCTCCCCTATCTCTCCAATGAGTAGACCATCCCAGTGGGTTATATAGAGATAAATATGGTTGAAACCTCTTCCTCGCTCCTTCCATCTCTCTATCCCCCCCTCTCTCTCTCTCCAGTGGGTAGGCCTATTCCAGTGGTCCAGACCCCCTCTCCCACTAAGGATGATATAGACTGTCTCCATTCTCTAACCTTCTCCTCTCTCTCTCTCCAGTGGGTAGGCCTATTCCAGTGGTCCAGACCCCCTCTCCCACTAAGGATGATATAGACCGGCTCCATTCTCTCTACCTGGAGGGACTCACTGCTGTGTTTGAAGACAACAAGGACAACTATGGCGTTGCAACAGACAAACACCTCCACTTCATCTAGACACACGTCTGTGTGAAGAGTTGTTCACACGCATAATCAGAAGAAAAATAAGCTTTACAGATGAACCCAAAGATGCTGCAACACCTTCTAGATCAGAGTTCTAGCTGGAGGTTAGGGTTAGGGTTAGGGTTAGGGTTAGGGTTAGGGTTAGGGTTAGGGTTAGGGTTAGGAGGTTAGGCTTCTGTAGAGGTTTGAAGGGTTGTTATCAATAAAACGTCACAATACGTTGCAGAGCGTTCTATTTGCCTGCTGGGGGGCAGGAGACCTCCAGCTCTGCTGAAACCACTGACAACTGCGTGCCATTTTCAAGGAATTGTTAAATACATTTTGTAATATTACCTCTTGAACAGCATAGTCAGAATTACAAATGTCTGATTATTCCATTCAAAACAATCAGGCACATTTATCTCCATCATCAGAGTTATACAGCAAGTAACTGCATGGTTTTCATGATCAGTAAACGTGAGGGTAGCTTCATGATATCTCAATATTGTCCACCATTTATTGATCACTGTATATAAATGTTCTATTGTGTTATTGACTGTATGTTTTGTTTACCCCATATGTAACTCTGTGTTGTTGTTGTTTTTATCGCACTGCTTTGCTTTATCTTGGCCAGGTCGCAGTTGTAAATGAGAACTTGTTCTCAACTGGCTTACCTGGTTAAATAAAGGTGAAATAAAAATTTAAATAATTGGATATTTGAGTGATATAAAATACACTGAACAAAAATATAAACACAACATGTAAAGTGTTGGTCCAATGTTTCATGAGCTGAAATAAAAGATCCCAGAAATGTTCCATACAAACAAAAAGCTTATTTCTCTCAAATTGTGTGCACAAATTTGTTTATCTCCCTGTTAGTGAGCATTTCTCCTTTGCCAAGATAATCCATTCACATGACAGGTGTGGCATATCAAGAAGCTGATTAAACAGCATGATCATTACACAGATGCACCTTGTGCTATGGACAATAAAAGGCCTCTAAAATGTGATGTTTTGTCATACAACACAATGCCACAGATGTCTCAAGTTTTGAGGGAGCGTGCAATTGGCATGCTGACTCCAGGAATGTCCACCAGAGCTGTTGCCATTTCTCTACCATAAGCCGCCTCCAAAGTCATTTTAGAGAATTTGGCAGCACGTCCAACCGGCATCACAACCGTAGACCACATGTATGGCGTCGTGTGGGCGAGCGGTTTGCTGATGTCAATGTTGTTAACAGAGTGCCCCATGGTGGTGGTGGGGTTATGGTATAACAACGAACACAAATGCATTTTATCCATGGCAATTTGAATGCACAGAGATCCTGAGGTCCATTGTCGTGCCATTCATTCGCCGCCATCACCTCATGTTTCAGCATGATACTGCACGGCTCCATGTTGCAAGGATCTGTACACAATTCCTGGAAGCTGAAAATGTCCCCGTTTTTCCATTGCCTGCATACTCACCAGACATGTCACCCATTGAGCATGTTTGGGATGCTCTGGATCGACGTGTTCCAGTTCCCGCCAAGGTATCTGTGACTAATATAAGAACTGTAACCTCAAATTGTTGCATGTTACATTTGTATTTTTATTCAGTATAAAAGTGATCTATACCTAACAAGTATTAGTGATTTAGGTTAATTGGGCTCTGCCTGACAAGGAGCAGAAGGATGCATTTGCTGATGTTGTTAATTATAATGTTTACTTTGCTACCGGTAGAAACTTTGCACAGTTGGCTAAGTAGACACCTAATGTACTTTCTTTCTCCAACCAACATAGGCCTACCTAACATTATCCCCTTTTCAACATTGTTTTAACGAGTGTTTAATCACGATTGTTGCTGACAGAGATGATAGGCTACATTGATTGGTGGACCACGCCAAACTGGCTAGCTAGCTAATAACAATGCCATGCTGCGGGAGGGGAAGCGGACCAACAGAGAAAAACTGGAGAGAGCCTTCACAGCAGCAAATAGCAGCCAACCCTAGGCTAGAGTGCCTTCACAGCAGCCAACAGCAGCCAACCCTAGGCTAGAGAGCCTTCACAGCAGCCAACAGCAGCCACCCTAGGCTAAACTAGAGAGCCTTCACAGCAGCCAACAGCAGCCAACCCTAGGCTAGGAGACTTCACAGCAGCCAACCCTAGGGATTTAGAGAGCCTTCACAGCAGCCAACCCTAGGCTGGAGAGCCTTCACAGCAGCCAACAGCAGCCAACCCTAGGCTAGAGAGCCTTCACAGCAGCCAACCCTGGGCTAGAGAGCCTTCACAGCAGCCAACAGCAGCCAACCCTAGGCTAGAGGAGCCTTCACAGCAGCCAACCCTAGGCTAGAGAGCCTTCACAGCAGCCAACAGCAGCCAACCCTAGGCTAGAGAGCCTTCACAGCAGCCAACCCTAGGCTAGAGAGCCTTCACAGCAGCCAACACTGGGCTAGAGAGCCTTCACAGCAGCCAAACCCGGTAGAGAGTTTCCGACCCAAAACCCTAGGCTAGAGAGCCTTCAGCAGCCAAAAAGAGCCAAACCTGGGTTGAGGCATTCACAGCGCCAACCTAGGTAGGAGCCTTCACAGCAGCCAACCCTAGGCTAGAGAGCCTTTACAGCAGCCCCAACCCTGGGGAGGCCTTACAGCAGCCAAAAGCGCCAAACCCTAGGTAGAGAGCCCTTACAGCGCCAACCCGGGCTAGAGGCCTTAAGCAGCCCAAAGCAGCCAACCCCAGGTAGAGAGGGCCTTCACAGAGCCAAAACCCGGCTAGAGACCCTTACAGAGCCAACGCAGCCAACCTAGGAAAAGCCTTCACAGCAAACCAACCCCCAGGTAGAGGGCCTTTAAGCAGCCAACCTGGGCTAAGAGCCCTTCCCGAGCCCCCAGCAGCCAACCTGGGTAGAGAGCCTTACAGCAGCCCAAACCCCAGGTAGAGAGCTTTCACAGCGCCAACCCAGGCTAGAGAGCCTTTACAGCAGCCAACAGCAGCCAACCATGGGTAGAGAGATTTAAGTGCCAACCCTAGGGTGAGAGCCTTCAAGCAGCCAACAGCAGCCAAACCCAGGTAGAGAGCCTTAAGCAGCCAAAAAGCAGCCAACCCTGGCTAGAGAGCCCTTTACAAACAGCCAACAGCAGCCAACCCTAGGCGGAGAGCCTTCACAACAGCCCCAAAAGCGCCAACCCCAGGCTAGAGAGCCTTACAGCAGCCAAAAAGCAGCCCAACCTAGGTAGAGAGCTACGCAGCCAACAGCAGCCAACCCGGGTAGGAGCCTTCACAGCAGCCAAAACCCCGGTAGAGAGCCTTACAGCAGCCAACCCCAGGTAGAGAGCCTTCACAGGCCAACCCCGGGTAGAGAGCCTTCACAAAGCCCCCCCTAGGGTAGAGAGCCTTCACAGCAGCAACAGCAGCCAACCAGGCTTTGGACCTTACAGCAGCCAAAGAGCCAACCCTGGGTAGAGAGCCTTTTAAGAGCCCAACCCCCAGGTAGAGGCTTCAAGCGCCAAACCCAGGCTGAGAGCTTCACGAGCCAAAAAGCAGCCAACCCTGGGCTAGAGAGCATTCACAGCTGCCAACCCTAGGGTAGAGAGCCCTTTATAGCAGCCAACCCTAGGGTAGAGAGCTTCACAGAGCCAAAACCCCGGCTAGAGAGCCTTCCAAAGCCCCAAAAGCACCAACCCTAGGCAGAGAGCCTTAAAAGCAGCCAACAGCGCCAACCCTAGGTAGAGAGCTTTACAGCACCCCAGCAGCCAACCCTGGGCTAGAGGCCTTTCCCGCGCCCAACCCCAGGCTGAGAGTTCACAGAGCCAAAACCCCAGGGGAGAGAGCCTTTACAGCAGCCAACCCTGGGCGAGAGAGCCTTCACAACAGCCAACCCTAGGCTAGAGAGCCCTTACGCAGCCAACCCTAGGCTAGAGAACCCTTAAAGCAGCCAACCCTGGGAGAGCCTTACAGCAGCCCCAAATGGGCTAGAGAGCCCACAGAGCCCAACCCGGGCTAGAGGCCTTCACAGCAGCCAACCCTAGGTAGAGAGCCTTTTACAGCAGCCAAACCCCAGGCAGAGAGCCTTAAGCGCCAACCCTAGGCTAGAGAGCTTCACAGCAGCCAAAAAAGCCAACCCTAGGTAGAGGCTTCACAGCAGCCCCCCCCCGGGTAGAGGCCCTTTACAGCAGAACCTGGGCTTTTGAGAGCCTTTTAAGCAGCCCAACCCCAGGCTGAGGCCTTCACAGCAGCCAAAACTGGGCAGAGAGCTTCCCCCGAGCCCCCAAAACCAAAAAAAAAAAAAAAAAACCCTAGGGTAGAGGCCTTCACAGCAGCCAACCCCCGGGGTAGGGAGCCTTTAACAGAAGGGGGGAAAACAGCACAACCCTGGGTAGAGACCTTTACAGAGCCCAAAAAAAATAGGTAGGAGCCACAGAAAAACCACCGGTGAGAGCCCTTTAAGCAGCCCAACCCGGGTAGAGGCCCTTTACAGCAGCCAACCCAGGTGGGGGAGCCTTTCCCGCAGCCAAAAGCAGCCCAAAACCCCAGGTAGAGAGCCTTTCCCGCAGCCAAAACCCGGGGTTTGAGAGCCTTCACAGCAGCCAACCCCAGGCTTGAGAGCCTTCACAGCAGCCAACAGCAGCCAACCCTAGGTAGAGAGCTTCAAGAGCCCCCCCTGGCTAGAGAGCCTTTTAAAGCAGCCAACCCTAGGCTAGAGAGCCTTCACAGCAGCCAACAGCAGCCAACCCTGGGCTAGAGAGCATTCACAGCTGCCAACCCTAGGCTAGAGACCTTCAAGCGCCAACCCTAGCTGAGAGCCCTTCCCCCCCGGGGGAAAACCCCCAAAAGCCCCGCCCCCTGGGTAGAGAGATTCACGGGGGGGGGGGGGGGTGGGGGGGGGGGGGGGGGGGTGGGGGCCCCCCAACCCCAAACCAACACCAAAAGCCAACCTGGGGTAGAGACCTTCCAGAGCCAACCGGGGTAGAGGGAAAACCTTCCAAGCAGCCAAACCCCGGGGTTAGAGAGTTCCCCAGCCCCGCCAACCCTGGTGAGACCTTCCAGCAGCCCAAACCCCAGGCTAGAGAGCCTTTACCAGCCAAACAAGGCCCAAAACCAACCCCGGTAGAGAGCCTTCACAGCAGCCAAACCCAGGTAGAGAGCCTTTACAGAGCCAACCCCCGGTGGAGCCCCTTTACAGCAGCCCAAACCCGGGGGGAAAACCCAAAAACCCCTTTGGGCCTTTGAGAAAAAGGGGGCCTTTACAGCAGGGCCAACCCGGTAGAGAGCCTTACAGCAGCCAACCCTGGTAGAGAGCCTTTACAGCAGCCAACCCTAGGCAGGGGCCTTACAGAGCCAAACCCAGGTAGAGGCCTTCACAGCGCCAACCCAGGCGGGAGCTTTACAGAGCAACCCCGGCTAGAGACCTTCACAGCGCCAAAAAACCCTGGTAGAGAGCCTTACGAGCCAAAACCCGGCTAGGAGCCTTTACAGCAGCCAACCCTGGCTAGAGAGCCTTACAGCAGCCAACCCTAGGGCTAGGGTTCACAGCAGCCCAACCTGGCTAGAGACTTACGCAGCCAACCCGCAGCCAAACCCTAGGCTAGGGAGCCTTTACGCAGAACCCGGCAGGAGCCTTTACGCGCCAACCCTAGGCTGGGGAGCCTTCACAGCAGCCAAAAGCAGCCAACCCTGGTGAGAGCCTTCACGCAGCCCCAACCCGGGGAGAGACCTCACAGCAGCCAACCCGGGTAGAGACCTTCAAAGCAGCCCAACCGGTAGGACCTTCCAGCAGCCAACCCTGGGCTTTTGGACCCTTTACAGCAGCAAAACCGGGGAGAACCCCCTTTTCAGGAAACCCACCGGCAGCCCCAAACCCCGGTAGAGAGCCTTCCCGCAGCCACCCCAGGTGGGAGCCTTCCCGCACCAAAACCCAGGTAGAGAGCCTTCACAGAAGCCAAAAACCCGGGTGAGACCTTTACAGCAGCCAACCCTGGGTGAGACTTCACAGCAGCCCAACCCCGGCTAGAGAGCCTTCACAGGCCAACCCCGGCTAGGGACCTTTACGCAGCCCAAACCCCGGGGAGGAGCCTTTAAGCAGCCAAAAGCGCCCCAAACCTAGGTAAGAGCCTTACGCAGCCAACCTAGGAGGAGCCCCTTTACAGCAGCCCAACCTAGGCTGGAGAGCCTTCACAGCAGCCAACGCAGCCCAACCCCGGGGAGAGAGCCTTCACAGCAGCCAACCCCGGGCTAGAGTCCTTACAGCAGCCAAACCCCGGGTAGAGCCCTTTACAGAGCCAACCCTGGGTTTGGAGTTACGCAGCCAAAATGGGGAGAGACCCTTTACAGCAGCAAAACCGGGGAGCCAAACCCGGGGGAGAGGCCTTCAGCGCCCCCCAGTGGGGAAGTTTTTAAGGCAACCAAGGACTTACAAAAGCCCCCTTTTGGTTAAAAAAGCAAAAAAAGAAAAGGGGTTTTGAATCTTCAAGCCCCAAAATGGCAGAGATCCTCCGAAACCCCAAATTTAAGGGGTTTTTTGGGCGCCAACGGGTAAGATCAGGCCCCCATGGGAGGAACCCAAAAATTTTTGGTGAAATTTGGGGAAAAAAAAATATTATTTTATTTAAAAAATTTTTGTTCAAAAAAAGTAAATACAAAAATATGGTAGTTAAAAGCTACTCAAAAAGCAATAGGGAGTTAAAAGAATTTTAGGGGGAAAAACAGATTTTTCCAAAAATTTTGGATTTTTTTTGTGGGGCTGTCCCCCCCTTTTCCCGGGGGGTTGGGTCAGGTTTTTTTTTTCCCCGTTGGGTGGTATTTGGCCCAAAAAGAAACGAATAAAAAAGTCAAATGCTAATAAAAGCCATAAAAAAAACGGCCCCAACAATTGCCCCTTTTGGTCAACAAGAAACCGGGGATAAAAGATTTTCCAAAAGAAAACTCCCCCTTTTGGGGAAAAGTTTTAAAAAGGGGGTGGTTAACTTTACATTTTGGCTTTTGGGCCCCTCCCTTTTTTGTTTGTCCGTCTTTTTTTTTTTTGGGGTTTTGGGCTTCCCCCTTTTTGGGGGATCCCAAAACCTAAAAAAAAAACCCCCCCCTAAAAACCGGGGGGCCCATTTATATTTAAGACTTAAGTTAAAAGTAAAAAAATTTTAAAGTAATTTAGAATACTGCTATTAGCCCATAGAAATGTATTGAATAACAGATTGAATACATGGAACAACAGATAGTCCCAAAAAATATATAAAGGACATTTGTTGTGAAGTGACTGTCCTATATCTGAGAGATATAAGAAAGATCAGGAAACTCTTTTTTATAGTTGTAGGTAAAGAAAATATCTGTGAATATCAGACAATAAAGAAATATCTATCTAATCTAAACAGATCATGTCAATATGGCTAGTTAACAAGCTAACTACAGATCAGGTCAATATGGCTAGTTAACAAGCTAACTACAGATCATGTCAATATGGCTAGTTAACAAGCTAACTTTCAGGGGATAAACTAGATGGCTATATCCAAATACTGTTTGATTTGCTTTCCATCTATAGTGGTGATGACAGTAGTCTGACTGACAACTTTACCAGGGGAGGACTTGCCGATGTCAAGCTCTTTCCAAAAGCCTAATATTTGATGAAGCAAGCTAAATGACACGTTGTTTGCTTGGCTAGCTAGCTACATGCCAAATGGATAGGCTAACCTCACGTATCTGAAAATACATGATCAATTTATGTTTACTGATCATGAAATAAAACAGTCAAATTTAAGGTGAGTGTGTTGGAGGTAACTGGCCCTCCATTGGGACAACTTGCCCCCTGGCAATCTAATGCAAGTCAATGGTACAGTACCTAAATTAGCATTTTCCAAATCATGTCCAAAACATCTACAAGTAACTTCCTTGAGCTACACAGTACTTTTTTAAATACTTTAGGAGGATGATTTGGACATAATTTGGCGCGTAAATTCAAAGAGAGACCTTACATCAAAACCACATCATAGTGAGGATAATAATAGTGAGATGTGCAATGCCATTTTTTTTCAATATTTGATTTATGTAATTAAAATAAGATACCTAGACTTTCGTTTTTAAGAGTTAATTACTAAAAAAAATCTAAATACAATTTCTAAAATAGATTTGAACACACTAAGCTTCGGGAGGCCAGTTACTCCGGTACCCTTTTCCTTCGCACTACGGCAGCACTACATCCCTGCCGAAACATGTACTTTGCTTCTGTCACTCAACATTTCAGCAGGTTATTAAACAACATACTGTACTAACTCTAAATCAGTCAGGAGCCTAAGAAGGAAGGAAACATTATTATATATTTACATTTACGTAATTTAGCAGACGCTCTTATCCAGAGCGACTTACAGTTAGTGAGTGCATAATAATTATTATTTTTCTTCATACTGGCCCCCCGTGGGAAACGAACCCACAACCCTGGCATTGCAAACGCCGTGCTCTACCAACTGAGCTACACGGGACTGTTAGGCTATATTATTGTTATTTCACGGCTATAGCCTGCCATTTAAGAAATTAATGGTGAAGCATTGGTGACACGCTACAGGCTGGCAGGAGGGCACAGCATCTCAACAACACATCAACAACAACACATCAACAACACATCAACAACAACACATCAACAAACATCAACAACAACACACCAACAGGTTGGCAGGAAGGCTCAGCATCTCAACACATCTACAGGCTGGCAGGAGGGCTCAGCATTTCAACAATACATCAACAGGCTGGCAGGAGGGCTCAGCATTTCAATAATACATCAACAGGCTGGCAGGAGGGCTCAGCATTTCAATAATACATCAACAGGCTGGCAGGAGGGCTCAGCATTTCAATAATACATCAACAGGCTGGCAGGAGGGCTCAGCATCTCAACACATCAACAGGCTGGCAGGAGGGCTCAGCATTTCAATAATACATCTACAGGCTGGCAGGAGGGCTCAGCATTTCAACAACACATCAACAGGCTGGCAGGAGGGCACAGCATTTCAATAATACATCTACAGGCTGGCAGGAGGGCTCAGCATTTCAACAACACATCTACAGGCTGGCAGGAGGGCTCAGCATTTCAATAATACATCTACAGGCTGGCAGGAGGGCTCAGCATCTCAACACATCAACAGGCTGGCAGGAGGGCTCAGCATTTCAACAACACATCTACAGGCTGGCAGGAGGGCTCAGCATTTCAATAATACATCTACAGGCTGGCAGGAGGGCTCAGCATTTCAACAACACATCAACAGGCTGGCAGGAGGGCTCAGCATTTCAATAATACATCTACAGGCTGGCAGGAGGGCTCAGCATTTCAACAACACATCAACAGGCTGGCAGGAAGGCTCAGCATCTCAACACATCTACAGGCTGGCAGGAGGGCTCAGCATCTCAACACATCTACAGGCTGGCAGGAGGGCTCAGCATCTCAACAACACATCAACAACAGCACTTCAACAACATGCCTATAAATGTAGCCTTTAGCCTGTATAAAATGGAAAAAAATTGTTTTTAAATGAAATAATAATGAAATTAAAAATGTCTTATTAGGCTATACAGTCATTCTACAATGCCTTTGAATTCATTTTTAGAAACACAAGTTTGGCCAGTCTTTGGTTTGAGGATCATGTGGTGACCTATGCATGCCTAGTTTGGCCAGTCTTTGGTTTGAGAATCATGTGGTGACCTATGCATGCCTAGTTTGGCCAGTCTTTGGTTTGAGGATCATGTGGTGACCTATGCATGCCTAGTTTGGCCAGTCTTTGGTTTGAGGATCATGTGGTGACCTATGCATGCCTAGTTTGGCCAGTCTTTGGTTTGAGGATCATGTGGTGACCTATGCATGCCTAGTTTGGCCAGTCTTTGGTTTGAGGATCATGTGGTGACCTATGCATGCCTAGTTTGGCCAGTCTTTGGCTTGAGGATCATGTGGTGACCTATGCATGCCTAGTTTGGCCAGTCTTTGGTTTGAGGATCATGTGGTGACCTATGCATGCCTAGTTTGGCCAGTCTTTGGTTTGAGGATCATGTGGTGACCTATGCATGCCTAGTTTGGCCAGTCTTTGGTTTGAGGATCATGTGGTGACCTATGCATGCCTAGTTTGGCCAGTCTTTGGTTTGAGGATCATGTGGTAACCTATGCATGCCTAGTTTGGCCAGTCTTTGGTTTGAGGATCATGTGGTAACCTATGCATGCCTAGTTTGGCCAGTCTTTGGTTTGAGGATCATGTGGTGACCTATGCATGCCTAGTTTGGCCAGTCTTTGGTTTGAGGATCATGTGGTGACCTATGCATGCCTAGTTTGGCCAGTCTTTGGTTTGAGGATCATGTGGTGACCTATGCATGCCTAGTTTGGCCAGTCTTTGGTTTGAGGATCATGTGGTGACCTATGCATGCCTAGTTTGGCCAGTCTTTGGTTTGAGGATCATGTGGTGACCTATGCATGCCTAGTTTGATAATTTAGCCTAGCAGATGCTCTTATATTCCCATGCCTTAGTCACAGTCAACATAAATCTATTTTGTAACAACAATATCATGGAATAAAATAGAATAAATTAGAAAATGATAGTTACAAGTGCATATAGGCCTACCTGATGATATGTGGCTGCTGTGTTAAATAATTCATGTTTTTTTCTCCAATTCATTGATGATCAGATACTTCAGTTGTAACTGGTTCTGTTGCACTCAATATTTACAGTTGATAGTCAACTTTAGCACTGTTCCAAACTTAGACGATCCTAATTGTTAACAACAGCCTGTATAGAAATCAAAACGTCTCCGGTGCTGCTGAAAGCCCTAATTTTTAACAACAGCCTGTATAGAAATCAAAACGTCTCCGGTGCTGCTGAAAGCCCTAATTTTTAACAACAGCCTGTATAGAAATCAAAACGTCTCCGGTGCTGCAGAAAGCCCTAATTTTTAACAACAGCCTGTATAGAAATCAAAACGTCTCCGGTGCTGCAGAAAGCCCTAATTTTTAACAACAGCCTGTATAGAAATCAAAACGTCTCTGGTGCTGCAGAAAGCCCTAATTTTTAACAACAGCCTGTATAGAAATCAAAACGTCTCCGGTGCTGCAGAAAGCCCTAATTTTTAACAACAGCCTGTATAGAAATCAAAACGTCTCTGGTGCTGCAGAAAGCCCTAATTTTTAACAACAGCCTGTAGAGAAATCAAAACGTCTCCGGTGCTGCAGAAAGCCCTAATTTTTAACAACAGCCTGTATAGAAATCAAAACGTGTCACGGATTCAGCCGAGGCTGCTCCTCCTCCTTGCTCGGGCAGGCTTCGGCGTTCGGCGTCCCCGGAGTACTAGCTGCTGCCGATCGATGTTTCGGTGTTTGTCTTGTTTGGTCTTTATTGTTTACACCTGTTTTCCATTATGTTTTATTGTGTTCCCTTTATAACCCTCTGTTTCTCATTGTGTATTGTGCGTAATTGTTTTGGTCTTTTCGGCAGTTGCCCATGTGTGCGGGTTGTATCGTTCCTCTCTGTATGAGGTTGCCTTTGTACTTTGGATTTGCACTGTGTCCAGTAAAGCATCTGCCAGTAGCTCGGTGTCCTGCTCTTGACTTCGCCTACCGCATACACGTCGCTGTGACAGAATTACGCACCATTAGACATGGAGTCAGCAGGAGCGGCGGTGCCAGCTGGATCAATGGAAGAGCGCGTAGAACAACAAGCGGCCATGATCCAGGCTCTCGGCACCGCCATGGAACGGGTGGTGAACACCATGGAGCGATGGGAAAGAGGAGGTTTGCCCACACCTCCTCCGATGATACCACCACCATCAGCTATGCCCATCGCTTCATCTCCGGGGTCCAGTGGGATTCGGCTCTCGCTCCCGAGGGCTTATGATGGCACAGCTGCCGGGTGTCAGGGTTTCCTGCTCCAGGTGGAACTCTACCTGGCAACCATCCACCCGGAGCCCTCGGGATACGAGAGCGTGTCCGGCCTCATCTCCTGTCTGTCCGGCAAGGCGCTGGAGTGGGCCAACGCCGAGTGGGGGGGAATAGATGCCGCTACTGTCAACTATGCGGAGTTCACCCGCCGCTTCAGGGCAGTATTCGATCATCCACCAGAGGGTAAAGCGGCGGATGAGCGTCTATTCCACTTCAGACAGGGGAAGAGGAGCGCGCAGGAGTTCGCACTGGACTTCCGGACGCTGGCTGCCAACGCGGGATGGAATGAGAGGGCCCTCATCGACCACTACAGATGTAGCCTGAGGGAGGACGTGCGTCGGGAATTGGCCTGCAGGGACACCAACCTAAACTTCGATCAACTGGTGGACATGTCGATTCGCCTGGACACCCTGTTGGCTACCCGCGGACGTCCGGACTCGGGCCGTCCATTCCATCCCCCAGCACTTCCGAGCCGACCCCTATGGAGCTCGGAGGTGCTGGTACTAGGAGAGAGACCAGGAGAGAGGCCGTCCCCTGCACCAACTGTGGCCGCAGAGGACATACTGCTGGTCGGTGCTGGGGAGGGTCTCCTCGGAATCGAGGCAGTAGGCCGCGCACTGATGAGTCATTCCAGGTGAGTAGGCGCCCGACTCTCCTGCGTTTCCCGTGGTGTTGGGGCTTCCCTAGTTGACGTCTCATGACCCCAACATTTCTTGGCAACAGAGGGCTCTCAAGGGATGGTCTGATCAGTGTGTCGGGAGGTGTGTGGGTGTTTCCTTAGGGGCCACGACGGTGGAAAGTCCGAACCAAGTTCCCACCATGCACATTCCACCTGAATATGCCGATTTTGGCTCTCGCCTTCTGTAAAAAGAAGGCGACTCATTTACCACCCCATCGACAGGGGGATTGTGCGATAAACCTCCAAGTAGGCGCTGCGCTTCCCCGTAGTCATGTGTATCCTCTGTCTCAGGAGGAGACGGCGGCTATGGAAACATATGTCGCCGAATCGCTGAGACAGGGATACATACGGCCGTCCACTTCCCCTGCGTCCTCAAGTTTCTTTTTTGTGAAGAAGAAAGATGGGGTTTTACGCCCGTGTATTGACTACCGTGGTCTCAATCAGATCACCATCAAATATAGCTATCCTCTCCCTCTGATTGCTAGTATGACGGAGTCATTACACGGGACGTGATTCTTCACAAAATTGGATCTCAGGAGCGCATACAACCTGGTGCGCATTAGGGAGGGAGATGAGTGGAAGACAGCATTCAGTACCACCTCGGGTCACTATGAGTACCTCGTCATGCCATATGGTTTAATGAATGCTCCTTCAGTCTTCCAATCGTTTGTGGATGAGATTTTCCGGGACTTGCATTGACAGGGTGTAGTGGTGTACATTGATGACATTCTAATATACTCCGCTACCCGCGCAGAGCATGTGTCCCTGGTTCGTCGGGTGCTTGGTAGACTGTTGGAGCATGACCTGTATGCAAAGGTGGAGAAATGTCTGTTCTTCCAGGAGTCCATCTCCTTCCTGGGACACCGGTTGTCCGCGTCAGGGGTGGAGATGGAGATTGACCGTGTTTCAGGTGCAGCGGTTCTTGGGTTTTGCCAATTACTACCGGAGGTTTATCCGGGGCTTTGGGCAGGTAGCAGCTCCCATTACCTCCTTGCTAAAGGGGGGTCCGGTGCGTCTGCAGTGGTCAGCTGAGGCGGACAGGGCTTTTAGGCATCTGAAGGACCTGTTTACCTCGGCTCCAGTGCTGGCACATCCGGATCCCTCTTTGGCGTTCCAAGTTGAGGTGGATGCGTCCGAGGCTGGGATCGGTGCTGTACTGTCTCAGCGCTCGGGTACGCCACCTAAACTCCGCCCCTGTGCTTTCTTTTCTAAGAAGCTCAGTCCGGCGGAGCGCAATTATGATGTGGGGGACAGGGAGCTGTTAGCTGTGGTGCAAGCCCTGAAGGTGTGGAGGCATCGGCTTGAGGGGGCTAAACACCCTTTTCTCATTTTGACTGACCATCGTAACCTGGAGTACATCCGGGCGGCGAGGAGGCTGAACCCTCGCCAGGCTAGGTGGGCTATGTTTTTCACCCGATTTGTATTTACGCTCACCTATAGACCAGGGTCACAGAACGCTAAGGCAGACGCCCTGTCCCGACTATATGACACAGAGGAGAGGTCCATTGACCTACTCCCATACTTCCGGAGATCTTGTCTGTAGGCACCGGTGGTATGGGAGGTTGATGCGGACATCGAGCGGGCGTTACGTACCGATCCTACTCCCCCACAGTGACCAGAGGGTCGGAAGTACGTGCCGCTCGAGGTTCGTGATCGATTAATATATTGGGCTCACATGTCACCTTCCTCTGGCCATCCTGGTATTGGTCGGACAGTGCACTGCCTTAGTGGAAAGTACTGGTGGCCCACTTTAGCTAAGGACGTGAGGGTTTATGTTTCCTCCTGCTCGGTGTGCGCCCAGTGCAAGGCGCCTAGACACATACCCAGAGGGAAATTACAACCCCTACCCGTTCCACAATGACCGTGGTCTCACCTCTCGGTGGATTTTTTCACGGACCTTCCCCCCTCCCAGGGGAACACGACGATCTTGGTCGTTGTGGATCGGTTTTCAAAGGCCTGCCGTCTCATTCCTATGCCAGGTCTCCCTACAGCCCTACAAACTGCTGACACCCTGTTTACACACGTCTTTCGGCACTATGGGGTACCTGAGGATATAGTGTCTGATCGGGGTCCCCAGTTCACCTCTAGAGTCTGGAGGGCGTTTATGGAACGTCTGGGGGTCTCGATTAGCCTTACCTCAGGTTTTCACCCCGAGAGTAATGGGCAGGTGGAGAGAGTGAACCAGGATGTGGGTAGGTTTCTGAGGTCCTATTGCCAGGACCGGCAGGGGGAGTGGTCGGAATATATCCCCTGGGCAGAGATTGCCCAGAACTCACTCCGCCACTCCTCAACTAACCTTACGCCTTTTCAGTGTGTGCTAGGTTATCAGCCGGTCCTGGCACCTTGGCATCAGAGCCAGATCGAAGCGGTGGACGAGTGGTTTCGGCGCTCGGAAGAAACCTGAAACGCTGCGCATGTCCATCTACAGCAAGCGATCAGGCGGCAAAAGGCGAGCGCCGATCGCCACCGCAGTGAGGCTCCGGTGTATGCACCGGGAGATCGGGTCTGGCTCTCGACCCGAAACCTGCCCCTTCGCCTGCCCTGCCGGAAGCTGGGTCGGCGGTTTGTGGGGCCATTTAAAGTCCTGAGGAGATTGAACGAGGTATGTTATAGGTTACAACTGCCCATTAATTACCGCATTAACCGCTCGTTCCATGTGTCTCTCCTCAGGCCGGTAGTAGCTGGTCCACTCGAGGAGAGTGAGGTACGAGAGGCTCCTCCGCCCCCGTTGGACATCGAGGGGGCTCCGGCGTACTCAGTCCGTTCCATCTTGGATTCGAGGCGTCGGATGGGGGGCCTGCAGTATCTCGTGGAGTGGGAGGGGTACGGTCCGGAGGAACGGTGCTGGGTCCCTAGGAGGGACATCCTAGATCCCTTCATGTTGAGGGATTTCCACCGGAATCATCCAACTCGCCCAGCTCCGCGTCCTCCTGGCCGTCCCCGAGGCCGGGGTCGGCGCACGGCTGGAGCCGCGCGTCAAGGGGGGGGGGTACTGTCACGGATTCAGCCGAGGCTGCTCCTCCTCCTTGCTCAGGCAGGCTTCGGCGTTCGTCGTCCCCGGAGTACTAGCTGCTGCCGATCGATGTTTCGGTGTTTGTCTTGTTTGGTCTTTATTGTTTACACCTGTTTTCTATTATGTTTTATTGTGTTCCCTTTATAACCCTCTGTTTCTCATTGTGTATTGTGCGTAATTGTTTTGGTCTTTTCGGCAGTTGCCCATGTGTGCGGGTTGTATCGTTCCTCTCTGTATGAGGTTGCCTTTGTACTTTGGATTTGCACTGTGTCCAGTAAAGTATCTGCCAGTAGCTCGGTGTCCTGCTCTTGACTTCGCCTACCGCATACACGTCGCTTTGACAAAACATCTCCGGTGCTGCAGAAAGCCCTAATTTTTAACAACAACCTGTATAGAAATCAAAATGTCTCCGGTGCTGCAGAAAGCCCTAATTGTTAACAACAGCCTGTAGAGAAATCAAAATGTCTCCGGTGCTGCAGAAAGCCCTAATTGTTAACAACAGCCTGTATAGAAATCAAAATGTCTCTGGTGCTGCAGAAATCCCTAATTGTTAACAACAGCCTGTATAGAAATCAAAACTTCTCTGGTGCTGCAGAAAGCCCTAATTGTTAACAACAGCCTGTTTAGAAATCAAAACTTCTCTGGTGCTGCAGAAAGCCCTAATTGTTAACAACAGCCTGTATAGAAATCAAAACGTCTCTGGTGCTGCAGAAAGCGCTCATTCGTTGTCATGCTCCGTTATTAAAAAATATTCTGCTTGTCTCCATTCATGTACAATGATATAGAATTGCATGAAATGTTTATAAAAGGCTATTATTTCTCGGACCGCAAGTAAGATGATAGATTAATGCACTGCTTTTATTATAATGGAGATCATTTCACCCCTACCCTTGTCCACGGTGGTCTGCAAATCCACAACCTTCTGGCTACTTTGCCATGTAATGCAGTTTAATGAAGAACAGTTTCTAAAACTGTAAATCTAATGCTCTGGTCTGTCCTAGGAGTGAGGGTAAACCCCAGGAGTGAGGGTAAACCCTAGGAGTGAGGGTAAACCCTAGGAGTGAGGGTAAACCCCAGGAGTGAGGGTAAACCCCAGGAGTGAGGGTAAACCCTAGGAGTGAGGGTAAACCCCAGGAGTGAGGGTAAACCCTAGGAGTGAGGGTAAACCCCAGGAGTGAGGGTAAACCCTACGAGTGAGGGTAAACCCTAGGAGTGAGGGTAAACCCCAGGAGTGAGGGTAAACCCCAGGAGTGAGGGTAAACCCCAGGAGTGAGTGTCACACCCTGGCTCTGGGACTCTATATGTTGAGCCAGGGTGTGTTCATTCTATGTGTTATATTTCTATGTTGGGGGTTCTAGTTGTTCTGTTTCTATGTTGGCCTGAGTGACTCCCAATCAGAGGCAACGAGTGTCAGCTGTGGCTGGTTGTCTCTGATTGGGAGCCATATTTAAACGGTCTGTTTTTCCCTTTGTGTTTGTGGGTTCTTGTTCCGTGTTGGTCTATGTTACCTAGGACGTTACGAGTCGTTTGTTGTTTTGTTAATTGTCAGTATTTATCACTATAGATAAATAAACATGTTCGTTCATCACGCTGCGCCTTGGTCTATTCCGTACGACGAGCGTGACAGAAGAACCCACCATCACAGGACCAAGCAGCGTGTCCAGGAGCAGGCAGCCTGGACGTGGGAGCAGATCTTAGACGGGCAGGGGTCCTGGACCTGGGAGGAAATCCTGGCCGGGATGGATCGCCGGCCATGGAGTGAGACAGTAGAGAGGCGACGGAGAGAGGAGCAACGGCGTGATCAGTGTCGTCGTCGGGCTGACGAGAGGCAATCCCCAAAAAATTTTAGGGGGGGGCACAGGGCATGGACGACGGGGCTGACGGAGGCAGAAAAGGGGCGTATTCAGAAGGCCACCAGGTTACGGGGGCCACTGGTCAAAGTAGGGAAAGAAGGTTTAGAGGCACGGCGAGAGGTACTGGGGTGTGTTACCAGTCCGGTCCGGCCCATTCCAGATCCCGGGGTAGAGCCAGTGGTGTGTGTCCCCAGTACGGTCCGGCCTGTTACGGCCCCTCGCACCAAATGTACGGTGCGCGTCGCCAGCCCGGTCCGGCCTGTTCCTGCCTCTCGCACCAAGCCTACGGTGTGCGTCGCCAGCCCGGCCCGGCCTGTTCCTGCCCCTCGCACCAAGCCTATGGTGTGCGTCGCCAGCCCGGCCCGGCCTGTTTCTGCCACTCGCACCAAGTCTACGGTGTGCGTCGCCAGCCCGGCCCGGCCTGTTCCTGCCACTCGCACCAAGTCTAGGGTGCGCGTCGCCAGCCCGGCCCGGCCTGTTCCTGCCACTCGCACCAAGTCTACGGTGCGCGTCGCCAGCCCGGCCCGGCCTGTTCCTGCCCCTCGCACCAAGCCTACGGTGCGCGTCGCCAGCCCGGCCCGGCCTGTTCCTGCCACTCGCACCAAGCCTACGGTGCGCGTCGCCAGCCCGGCCCGGCCTGTTCCTGCTCCTCGCACCAAACCTACGATGTGCGTCGCCAGCCCGGCCCGGCCTGTTCCTGCCACTCGCACCAAGCCTACGGTGCGCGTCGCCAGCCCGGCCCGGCCTGTTCCTGCTCCTCGCACCAAACCTACGATGTGCGTCGCCAGCCCGGCCCGGCCTGTTCCTGCCACTCGCACCAAGCCTACGGTGCGCGTCGCCAGCCCGGCCCGGCCTGTTCCTGCCACTCGCACCAAGCCTACGGTGCGCGTCGCCAGCCCGGCCCGGCCTGTTCCTGCCACTCGCACCAAGCCAGGGGTGCGAGTCGTCAGCCTGGTCCAGCCTGTTCCTGCCACTCGCACCAAGCCAGGGGTGCGAGTCGTCAGCCCGGTAAAGCCCGTTCCGGCTCCACGCACCAAGCCAGGGGTGCGCATCGTCAGCCCGGTCCGGCCCGTTGCTGCTCCACGCACCAAGCCAGGGGTGCGAGTCGTCAGTCCGGTGAGGCCCGTTCCGGCTCCACGCACCAAGCCAGGGGTGCGCATCGTCAGCCCGGTCCGGTCCGTTCCTGCTCCACGCACCAAGCCAGGGGTGCGAGTCGTCAGTCCGGTGAGGCCCGTTCCGGCTCTACGCACCAAGCCAGGGGTGCGTATCGTCAGCCCGGTCCGGTCCGTTCCTGCTCCACGCACCAAGCCAGGGGTGCGTATCGTCAGCCCGGTCCGGCCCGTTGCTGCTCCACGCACCAAGCCAGGGGTGCGCATCGTCAGCCCGGTCCGGTCCGTTCCTGCCTCACGCACCAAGCCAGGGGTGTGCGTCGTCAGTCCGGCACAACCAGTGCCTGGGTCACCGGTGCCTAATCAGGTACCGCTCAACTGCTCCACAACGGAGCTGAAGCTAACCGCTCCTGCTACGTCCAGTTCAGCTCCAGCCAGCGGGGCCAGACCGGACCAGGGGTGCTATGGGGGGAGTATTGGAGGGTGGTGGGCAAGCCCGGAGCCAGAACCGCCGCCGAGGAGGAATGCCCACCCTGCCCTCCCCTGTTTTGCTCTAGTGGAGGCGCGGTCGCAGTCCGCGCCTTTAGGGGGGGGTACTGTCACACCCTGGCTCTGGGACTCTATATGTTGAGCCAGGGTGTGTTCATTCTATGTGTTATATTTCTATGTTGGGGGTTCTAGTTGTTCTGTTTCTATGTTGGCCTGAGTGACTCCCAATCAGAGGCAACGAGTGTCAGCTGTGGCTGGTTGTCTCTGATTGGGAGCCATATTTAAACTGTCTGTTTTCCCTTTGTGTTTGTGGGTTCTTGTTCCGTGTTGGTCTATGTTACCTAGGACGTTACGAGTCGTTTGTTGTTTTGTTCATTGTCAGTATTTATCACTATAGATAAATAAACATGTTCGTTCATCACGCTGCGCCTTGGTCTATTCCGTACGACGAGCGTGACAGTGAGGGTAAACCCTAGGAGTGAGGGTAAACACTAGGAGTGAGGGTAAATGGTAGGAGTGAGGGTAAACCCTAGGAGTGAGGGTAAACCCCAGGAGTGAGGGTAAACACTAGGAGTGAGGGTAAATGGTAGGAGTGAGGGTAAACCCCAGGAGTGAGGGTAAATCCTAGGAGTGAAGGTAAACCCCAGGAGTGAGGGTAAACCCTAGGAGTGAGGGTAAACCCTAGGAGTGAGGGTAAACGGTAGGAGTGAGGGTAAACCCTAGGAGTGAGGGTAAACCCTAGGAGTGAGGGTAAACGGTAGGAGTGAGGGTAAACCCCAGGAGTGAGGGTAAACCCTAGGAGTGAGGGTAAACGGTAGGAGTGAGGGTAAACCCTGGGAGTGAGGGTAAACGGTAGGAGTGAGGGTAAACGGTAGGAGTGAGGGTAAACCCCAGGAGTGAGGGTAAACCCCAGGAGTGAGGGTAAACCCTAGGAGTGAGGGTAAACCCTAGGAGTGAGGGTAAACCCTAGGAGTGAGGGTAAACCCCAGGAGTGAGGGTAAACGGTAGGAGTGAGGGTAAACGGTAGGAGTGAGGGTAAACCCTAGGAGTGAGGGTACACCCTAGGAGTGAGGGTAAACCCTAGGAGTGAGGGTTAACGGTAGCTATGTTCTCTGCTTTATGTTTTAATTATTATTTTGGGTTTTTGTATTTATTAGGGATCCCCATTAGCTGTTGCCCAAGCAGCAGCTACTCTTCCTGGGGTTTATTAGGGATCCCCATTAGCTGTTGTGAAAGCAGCAGCTACTCTTCTTGGGGTTTATTAGGGATCCCCATTAGCTGTTGCCCAGGCAGCAGCTACTCTTCCTGGGGTTTATTAGGGATCCCCATTAGCTGTTGCCCAGGCAGCAGCTACTCTTCCTGGGGTTTATTAGGGATCCCCATTAGCTGTTGCCCAGGCAGCAGCTACTCTTCCCGGGGTTTATTAGGGATCCCCATTAGATGTTGCCCAGGCAGAGCTACTCTTCCTGGGGTTTATTAGGGATCCCCATTATTATGGATCCCCATTAGTTCTTGCCAGGGCAGCAGCTAGTCTTCCTGGGGTTTATTAGGGATCCCCATTAGCTGTTGCCCAGGCAGCAGCTACTCTTCCTGGGGTACAAACACATTAAGGCACTTACATTACATATAAAACAAAATATAAAACAGTACATCATATAACATTATTGCACCACTACATATCTACAATACCAAATGTATAATATCACCATACAACAATATTACAATGTACGTGTGTGTAGAGTGCGTGTGCTAGCGCTTGTGTGTGTATGCGTGTGTCTGTACCTGTGTGTGTCTCTTCACAGTCCCCACTGTTCCATAAGTTGTATTTGTACCTGTTTTTTAAATCTGATTCTACTGCTTGCATCAGTAACCTGATGTGGAATAGAGATCCATGTAGTCATGGCTCTATGTAGTACTGTGCGCCTCCCATAGTCTGTTCTGAACTTGGGGATTGTGAAGAGACCTCCGGTGGCATGTCTTGTGGGGTATAAATGGGTGTCCGAGCTGTGTGCTAGTAGTTTAAACAGACAGCTCGGTACATTCACCTCAATGAATGTACCGAGCTCAATTGGTAGAGCATGGCGCTTGTAACGCCAGGGTAGTGGGTAGTGGGTTCGATTCCCAGGACCACCCATACGTAAAAATGTATGCGCACATGACTGTAAGTCGCTTTGGATAAAAGCGTCTGCTAAATGGCATATTAAATTAAATAGCATATTAATTCAGCTTGTCAACACTTCTTACAAAAACAAGCAGTGATGAAATCAATCTCTCTTCCACTTTGAGCCATGAGAGATTGATATGTATATTATTAATGTTAGCTCCCTGTGAACTTTTAAGGGCCAGCTGTGCTGCCCTGTTCTGAGCCAATTGTAATTTTCCAAAGTCCTTCTTTGTTGCACCTGACCACACAACTGAACAGTAGTCCAGGTGCGACAAAACTAGGGCCTGTAGGACCTGCCTTGTTGATAGTGTTGTTAAGAAGGCAGAGCAGCGCTTTATTATGGACAGACCCCATCTTAGCTACTGTTGTATGAATATGTTTTGACCATGACAGTTTACAATCCAGGGTTACTCCAAGCAGTTTAGTCACCTCAACTTGCTGAATTTCCACATTATTCATTATAAAATTTAGTTGAGGTTTAGGGTTTAGTGAATGATTTGTCCCAAATACAATGCTTTTAGTTTTTGAAATATTAAGGACTAACACCAATTCTGAAACTAACTGCAGCTTTTTGTTAAGTGTTGCAGTAATTTCAGTCGCTGTAGTAGCTGACGTGTATAGTGTTGAGTCATCCGCATACATAGACACACTGGCTTTACTCAACGCCAGTGGCATGTCCTTAGTAAAGATTGCAAAAAGTAAGGGGCCTAGACAGCTTCCCTGGGGAATTCCTAATTCTAAATGGATTATGTTGGAGAGGCTTCCATTAAAGAACACCCTCTGTGTTCTGTTAGGCAGGTAACTCTTTATCCACAATACAGCAGGGGGTGTAAAGCCATAACACAGCCCCCACAATCTTTTTATCATCAATTTCTCTTAGCCAATCATCAGTCATTTGTGTAAGTGCTGTTGAATGTCCTTCCCTATAAGCGTGCTGAAAGTCTATTGTCAATTTGTTTACTGTAAAATAACATTGAATCTGGTCAAACAAATTATTTCCAATAGTTTACTAAGGGTTGGTAACAGGCTGATTGGTCGGCTATTTGAGCCAGTAAAGGGGACTTTACTATTTTTGGTGGACTGACTTTTGCTTCCCTCCAGGCCTGAGGGCACACACTTTCTAGTAGGCTTAAATTGAAGATATGGCAAATAGGAGTGGCAATATCGTCCGCTATTATCCTCAGTAATTTTCCATCCAGGTTGTCTGACCCCGGTGGCTTGTCACAATAATTTGTTCACCTCTTCCACACTCACTTTACGGAATTCAAAATTACAATGTTTGTCTTTCAAAATGTGGTCATATATACTTTCATGTGTAGTGTCAGCGTTTGTTGCTGGCATGTCATGTCTAAGTTTTCTAATCTTGCCAATGAAAAAAATATTAAAGTAGTTGGCAATATCAATGAGTTTTCTGATGAATGAGCCATGTGATTCAATAAATGATGGAGCCGAGTTTGCCTTTTTGCCCAAAGGTTCATTGAAGCTGCTCCAGAGCTTTTTACTATCGTTCTTTATATAAATTATTTTTGTTTCATAATATAGTTTCTTCTTCTTTTTATTTCGTTTAGTCACATGATTTCTCAATTTGCAGTACGTTTGCTAATCGGTTGTGCTGCCAGAATTATTTGCCATACCTTTTGCGTCATCCCTCTCAACCATACAATTTTTCAATTCCTCATCAAAAGACGGGGATTTAACAGTTTTACAGTCATTTTCTTAATGGGTGCATGCTTATTAGTAACTGGAATAAGCAATTTCATAAATGTGTCAAGTGCAGTGTCTATTTGCCCCTCATTACACACCACGGACCAACAAATATTATTTACATCAACAACATAGGAATCACTACAGAACTTATTGTATGACCTCTTATACACTATATTAGGCCCAGCCTTTCCTTTCCTAGATATGGCTACTATATTGTGATCACTACATCCTATGGATTTGGAAACTGCTTTAATGTAAATTTCTGCAGCATTAGTAAAGATGTGATTAATACATGTTGATGATTTCATTTCTGTGCGGTTTGTAACTACCCTGGTAGGTTGACTGATAACCTGAACCAGGTTGCAGGCACTGATTACAGTTTGAAGCTTTTTCTTGAGTGGGCAGCTTGATGAAAGCCAGTCAATATTTAAATCACCCAGGAAATATACCTCTCTGTTGAGATCACATACATTATCAAGCATTTCACATATATTATCCAGATATTGACTTTTAGCACTTGGTGGTCTATAGCAGCTTCCCACCAGAATGGGCTTTAGGTGAGGCAGATGAACCTGTAGGCATATTACTTCAATAGTATTTAACATGAGAAATGGAAATCGACAACTTGTCTCTGTCTTCTTCTGTTTCTTTCTTAGAAGCATTTTCCTGGAGTCTGAGACCTTGTGGGAATCTGTGGTAGAGAAGAATGTAGCTATGGCAATTGACATTACCCTATACTAGTTATCATCATCATGATTTTTATAGTTTAGGCCTGCTATCTAGCTAGTAGTTGTGTTATCCAGCAAGCAATAATAGTGCTTGCTAACACTAATACATTAGCTAGTGTTTAACTATATTGAAAAGGAACTATTGTTACTCATAGTGTTGGCACAAGTAGCTAGCTAGCTAACATTAGCATCCTGGGTGTGTCTCACATAATACCCATGGGGTACCAATACCCTGAGAACAAAGTTCAGGGAAGATTAGACCATTGAGCCCAGCTAATATTAGCTAGCTAGTTAGCTAGTGAGCAGTGACCATAGCATAGCTATTTGACAACTTTAGGTAGCTAGCTAGCTAAGGTTAGAAAACTAGCTAGCTAGCTAGTGTGCAAGCTAATCCCAAAGAAACACAACAGATTGCATGAAAAGTATATTCTTTAGATGGCCTACCTAACCCTAACCCTAACCCTAACCCTAACTCTCTCACAGCATCCAGCCTAGCTAACCCTAACCCTAACCCTAACCCTAACCCTAACCCTAACCCTAGCTGACGCCATGCTATTTTCCTGATTTTTCACCACTTTATTTTTTGTGCCTGCACAATTGTTTTTATGTGTATTAGTAAAGACCAAAGGCAGCTCGATCTGCGTGCCAGTTAGGATTATTTTTCTATACGCATTTTCGTGGAACAGTTTCATTTCAATAATAACGTTTTTGTTTCTCAAAATCATTGTCACTTGGTTAATCATACAAATCTGAAAATTCAACTATGGCGAGAGCACCAGCCTCTGCCATATGGACATATTAATACACTGTGATCCATTGGTGGCTAAAGAAATGAGAGCATAGAACTGCAGCAGTAGGTCTATAACTCAGAGATAGCCTATAGGCCAATACAGCAGTAGGTCTATAACTCAGATAGCCTATAGGCCAATACAGCAGTAGGTCTATAACTCAGAGATAGCCTATAGGCCAATACAGCAGTAGGTCTATAACTCAGAGATAGCCTATAGGCCAATACAGCAGTAGGTCTATAACTCAGAGATAGCCTATAGGCCAACACAGCAGTAGGTCTATAACTCAGAGATAGCCTATAGGCCAATACAGCAGTAGGTCTATAACTCAGAGATAGCCTATAGGCCAATACAGCAGTAGGTCTATAACTCAGATAGCCTATAGGCCAATACAGCAGTAGGTCTATAACTCAGAGATAGCCTATAGGCCAATACAGCAGTAGGTCTATAACTCAGAGATAGCCTATAGGCCAATACAGCAGTAGGTCTATAACTCAGAGATAGCCTATAGGCCAATACAGCAGTAGGTCTATAACTCAGAGATAGCCTATAGGCCAATACAGCAGTAGGTCTATAACTCAGAGATAGCCTATAGGCCAATACAGCAGTAGGTCTATAACTCAGAGATAGCCTATAGGCCAATACAGCAGTAGGTCTATAACTCAGAGATAGCCTATAGGCCAATACAGCAGTAGGTCTATAACTCAGAGATAGCCTATAGGCCAATACAGCAGTAGGTCTATAACTCAGAGATAGCCTATAGGCCAATACAGCAGTAGGTCTATAACTCAGAGATAGCCTATAGGCCAATACAGCAGTAGGTCTATAACTCAGAGATAGCCTATAGGCCAATACAGCAGTAGGTCTATAACTCAGAGATAGCCTATAGGCCAATACAGCAGTAGGTCTATAACTCAGAGATAGCCTATAGGCCAACACAGCAGTAGGTCTATAACTCAGAGATAGCCTATAGGCCAATACAGCAGTAGGTCTATGACTCAGAGATAGCCTATAGGCCAATACAGCAGTAGGTCTATAACTCAGATAGCCTATAGGCCAATACAGCAGTAGGTCTATAACTCAGAGATAGCCTATAGGCCAATACAGCAGTAGGTCTATAACTCAGAGATAGCCTATAGGCCAATACAGCAGTAGGTCTATAACTCAGAGATAGCCTATAGGCCAATACAGCAGTAGGTCTATAACTCAGAGATAGCCTATAGGCCAATACAGCAGTAGGTCTATAACTCCGAGATAGCCTATAGGCCAATACAGCAGTAGGTCTATAACTCAGAGATAGCCTATAGGCCAATACAGCAGTAGGTCTATAACTCAGAGATAGCCTATAGGCCAATACAGCAGTAGGTCTATAACTCAGAGATAGCCTATAGGCCAATACAGCAGTAGGTCTATAACTCAGAGATAGCCTATAGGCCAATACAGCAGTAGGTCTATAACTCAGAGATAGCCTATAGGCCAATACAGCAGTAGGTCTATAACTCAGAGATAGCCTATAGGCCAATACAGCAGTAGGTCTATAACTCAGAGATAGCCTATAGGCCAATACAGCAGTAGGTATATAACTCAGAGATAGCCTATAGGCCAATACAGCAGTAGGTCTATAACTCAGAGATAGCCTATAGGCCAATACAGCAGTAGGTCTATAACTCAGAGATAGCCTATAGGCCAATACAGCAGTAGGTCTATAACTCAGAGATAGCCTATAGGCCAATACAGCAGTAGGTCTATAACTCAGAGATAGCCTATAGGCCAATACAGCAGTAGGTCTATAACTCAGAGATAGCCTATAGGCCAATACAGCAGTAGGTCTATAACTCAGAGATAGCCTATAGGCCAATACAGCAGTAGGTCTATAACTCAGAGATAGCCTATAGGCCAACACAGCAGTAGGTCTATAACTCAGAGATAGCCTATAGGCCAATACAGCAGTAGGTCTATAACTCAGAGATAGCCTATAGGCCAATACAGCAGTAGGTCTATAACTCAGATAGCCTATAGGCCAATACAGCAGTAGGTCTATAACTCAGAGATAGCCTATAGGCCAATACAGCAGTAGGTCTATAACTCAGAGATAGCCTATAGGCCAATACAGCAGTAGGTCTATAACTCAGAGATAGCCTATAGGCCAATACAGCAGTAGGTCTATAACTCAGAGATAGCCTATAGGCCAATACAGCAGTAGGTCTATAACTCAGAGATAGCCTATAGGCCAATACAGCAGTAGGTCTATAACTCAGAGATAGCCTATAGGCCAATACAGCAGTAGGTCTATAACTCAGAGATAGCCTATAGGCCAATACAGCAGTAGGTCTATAACTCAGAGATAGCCTATAGGCCAATACAGCAGTAGGTCTATAACTCAGAGATAGCCTATAGGCCAATACAGCAGTAGGTCTATAACTCAGAGATAGCCTATAGGCCAATACAGCAGTAGGTCTATAACTCAGAGATAGCCTATAGGCCAATACAGCAGTAGGTCTATAACTCAGAGATAGCCTATAGGCCAATACAGCAGTAGGTCTATAACTCAGAGATAGCCTATAGGCCAATACAGCAGTAGGTCTATAACTCAGAGATAGCCTATAGGCCAATACAGCAGTAGGTCTATAACTCAGAGATAGCCTATAGGCCAATACAGCAGTAGGTCTATAACTCAGATAGCCTATAGGCCAATACAGCAGTAGGTCTATAACTCAGAGATAGCCTATAGGCCAACACAGCAGTAGGTCTATAACTCAGAGATAGCCTATAGGCCAATACAGCAGTAGGTCTATAACTCAGAGATAGCCTATAGGCCAATACAGCAGTAGGTCTATAACTCAGAGATAGCCTATAGGCCAATACAGCAGTAGGTCTATAACTCAGAGATAGCCTATAGGCCAATACAGCAGTAGGTCTATAACTCAGAGATAGCCTATAGGCCAATACAGCAGTAGGTCTATAACTCAGAGATAGCCTATAGGCCAATACAGCAGTAGGTCTATAACTCAGAGATAGCCTATAGGCCAATACAGCAGTAGGTCTATAACTCAGAGATAGCCTATAGGCCAATACAGCAGTAGGTCTATAACTCAGAGATAGCCTATAGGCCAACACAGCAGTAGGTCTATAACTCAGAGATAGCCTATAGGCCAATACAGCTGTAGTAAAATACAAAGGCCTAAAGCCGACAAATAAAAACAGTAGAAAATATCCTGATGAAACTCAGGCCTATATAAATATCCTGATGAAACTCAGGCCTATATAAATATCCTGATGAAACTCAGGCCTATATAAATATCCTGATGAATCTCAGGCCTATATAAATATCCTGATGAAACTCAGGCCTATATCAATATCCTGATGAAACTCAGGCCTATATAAATATCCTGATGAAACTCAGGCCTATATAAATATCCTGATGAAACTCAGGCCTATATAAATATCCTGATGAAACTCAGGCCTATATAAATATCCTGATGAAACTCAGGCCTATATAAATATCCTGATGAAACTCAGGCCTATATAAATATCCTGATGAAACTCAGGCCTATATAAATATCCTGATGAAACTCAGGCCTATATAAATATCCTGATGAAACTCAGGCCTATATAAATATCCTGATGAAACTCAGGCCTATATAAATATCCTGATGAAACTCAGGCCTATATAAATATCCTGATGAAACTCAGGCCTATATAAATATCCTGATGAAACTCAGGCCTATATAAATATCCTGATGAAACTCAGGCCTATATAAATATCCTGATGAAACTCAGGCCTATATAAATATCCTGATGAAACTCAGGCCTATATAAATATCCTGATGAAACTCAGGCCTATATAAATATCCTGATGAAACTCAGGCCTATATAAATATCCTGATGAAACTCAGGCCTATATAATATCCTGATGAAACTCAGGCCTATATAAATATCCTGATGAAACTCAGGCCTATATAAATATCCTGATGAAACTCAGGCCTATATAAATATCCTGATGAAACTCAGGCCTATATAAATATCCTGATGAAACTCAGGCCTATATAAATATCCTGATGAAACTCAGGCCTATATAAATATCCTGATGAAACTCAGGCCTATATAAATATCCTGATGAAACTCAGGCCTATATAAATATCCTGATGAAACTCAGGCCTATATAAATATCCTGATGAAACTCAGGCCTATATAAATATCCTGATGAAACTCAGGGCTACCCAGACTATTTGCATTGA